GATTAGGTTACAATTATATAACTGCATTGCTTATTCAACTCATTTAATTATTTTAACAGACAGAGAAAGAGGTACATACACATATTTATAGAGAATAAACGAATCAGTAGATCAAGTGGTTTGGTCATCTCATCAGAGTGCAGCAAGATCAAATACTATCACAAACACTACATCTCAGAAGATCAGCTACAAGAACAAGAGGACAGTCGTGGAAAACATGGATCAACAACATTAAAGACACTCTACGCCTTCACGGCATGACAATAGCTTGTGGCAGCCAGTGTGGTTCAAGGCAATGACAAGGCAAAAAAAGGACTGGAGGCACAGACCTTCGCTCGCTCATGTTTTCTCAGTGACTCACAATGAGAATGCCCAGAAAGATAAAAATGGGCTGGATCTTAAGACAGTGGTTGGAGTCTCTGAAGCAGTCAGGGCTGATAAATTTCAGTTTCATTTTCATGTCAGGGCATGCAGGTGTGCAAGGGAATGAGCAAGCGGATAGGTCTGCAGGTAAAGCTACTGTGGAGGACTGATGAGCCATACTTTATGTTTTGGATAGGGCAGATAACGTTAACATTTGTTATATTTTACATAATAACTGGTTGGGCATAATGTTAATATTGATATTCTTTATATTCTGATCAGATAAATATCTCATTGTTACATTTTACAGGGAAAAACTGTGAGGAATACATCGACAAATGTTACACAAAGCCTTGTCAAAATGGCGGAACATGTCTCCATGCGGATAAAGGTTACAAGTGTCAGTGCCCTCCTGATACAAGCGGTGAGATCCATGCACATTCTGTACTATTGATATATATATTTATATGGTCTCAACTTTCATTACTTGCCTAATTAAGAATGATGTGTTGCTGTAGGAATGTTTATGGTGGCTATCTGTGAACACAGGAAATGGAGTGTAGAAAAAGAAGAAAAAAGAAGAAGGAGAAATTATATTTAAAGAAGAAATAGAATTAAAATAATAAGGAAAGAAGTAATAGTAGTAAGAGCAGCAGCAGCAATAGAAGAGGAAGAAGAAGAAAAAGAAGAAGTAGAAGAACAAGAAGAAAAAGAAGAAATTGTAGTTAAAGAAGAAATAGAATAATAATACAAAGAAGAAAAAAGTAGTAGTAGTAGGGATAGCAGTAGCAGAAGAATAAGAAGAAAAAAATGAGAAATTATAGTGAAAAAATAAATAGTATAATAATAATAATGATAAGAAAACAAAAGTAAGAGCAGCAACAGATGAATAAGAAAAGAAGAAGAAGTAGAAGAAGAAATTATAGTTGAAGAAAAAATAGAATAATAATTTTGAAAAATACAAAAAGTAGAAGTAGTAGTGATAACAGCAGCAGAAGCAGCAAAAGAAGAAGAAGAACGAACGAACGAACGAACGAACAAACTTTATTTTCAAAGGGTTACAAATTGGGCACGCAGGCCCGTCTGACATTCGGCCCTTCTAAGCACTCGTTTTTCAGAGTACCAATGCCTGTTATCTAAAATGCATGTTATAGATATAGAATAAAAATATACATTATAGAATATAATACATACATCATGTGTACACAATTTTACACACTCACACATATATATATATAAATAAATAAATATATATATATATATATATATATATATATATATATATATATATATATATATATATATATATATATATATATATATATATATATATATATATATATATATATATATATATATGCTCTCACATTCTCATAAATGCACACTCATATACAGACATACCTAACACATACATACATACATACATATAAACACACACAGAAAAGACACACACATACATATATGGACACATATGCACACACACATTCCATACATACACACCTACACAATGCATGCATGCATACACAATACAATCACATGTATGAAGAAGAAGAAGAAGAAGAAGAAGAAGAAGAAGAAGAAGAAGAAGAAGAAGAAGAAGAAGAAGAAGAAGAAGAAGAAGAAGAAGAAGAAGAAGAAGAAGAAGAAGAAGAAGAAGAAGAAGAAGAAGAAGAAGAAGAAGAAGAAAAAGAAGAAGAAAAAAGAAAAAGAAGAAGAAGAAGAAGAAGAAAAAGAAAAAGAGGAAGAACAAAACAACAATATAATGATGAGGCAGAAGCAGAAGAAGATAATGAAGAACAAGCCATGGGAAAAAAAAGCAGGAGTAGGCAAAGACGGAGGAGGAGGAGGAGGAGGAGGGGGGATCAGGCAGGTGAGAAAACAACCCATTAACCAAAGAGTTCATCAACAAACTTTGGCATTCCCCAGGCACAAACTGTGAAGTCTTCATCAGAATTGACCCGTGCAAAGACTGTCCTTGCAAGAATAACAGCACATGTGTACCAGGCCAGGGAGAAAGTTTCACCTGCGTCTGTCGTCCAGGTTTCACAGGGAGGTTCTGTGACGCTCGAGTGGATCACTGTGCCAGTGATCCATGCCAAAATGAAGGTAAAGCTGGTCTGTTCGTGTTAAAGAGTAGTGAAACACACGCACACACACACTAATGAAAAATGATAGAAAGAAATGCAAAGGATGGAAAGAGAGTGTGAGTTGGAGAGTAAAGTAACACACTGACACACTTGCAGACAGAGGCACACATAGATGGAGAATGAGAAAGTGAGATGCAAAGAATAGAGAGACAGGGTGAGGAAGAGAAAGTCAGCAAGAGAGACAAGAAAGAGAGATAGAGTGATATGTATGTGTGTTTATTTATATACTAACTGTACCCGGCCACTCGTTGCTGTGGCCCAGAATGGTGAAATGGAGAGGGAAAAAAATAGCTCTTAGCTAACAGTGTCTGTCATACCCCTCCCCCCCACGCTCCCCCCTCTCCCCTCAAAGCAGTTATATCTCCCTCTTCAAAGGATTGAAAAATCATCCATGGTGAAATTATTAAAATAGTAATAATTAGGAAATTGAGAACTTACAAATAATATTTTTAGCTCTCTCAGCTAACTGTGTTTAGCATAACACCCCCCCCCCCCACCACCAATCATATCTCCCTCTCCGTAGGATTGAAAAATCACCTGGGGATATTATTAACATAGAAATATTTGAGAAATGAGAACTTTAAAATAATATATTAAGCTCTCTCAGCTAACTGTGTCTGGCATAACCTCCCCGTCCCCCTTTCCACCAATCATATCTCCCTCTCCGAAGGATTGAAAAATCATCACCTGGTGATATTATTAACATAGAAATATTTGAGAAATGAGAACTTTAAAATAATATATTAAGCTCTCTCAGCTAACTGTGTCTGGCATAACCTCCCCATCCCCCTTTCCACCAATCATATCTCCCTCTCCGAAGGTTTGAAAAATTATTACCTGGTGAAATTATTTAAATAGAAATAGTTAGGAAATGAGATCTTTAAAATAATATATTAAGCTCTCTCAGCTAACTGTGTCTGGCATAACATACCCCCCCCCCCCCCCATCAAATCTCCCTCTCCGAAAGATTGAAAAATCATCACCTGGCGAAATTATTAAAATAGAAATAACTAAGAAATTAGAATGTTAAAATAATATTTGAAGCTCTCTTAGCTGTGTCTGACATAACCCCCCCCCCCCCTTTCCCCACCCCCAATCATATCATCTTCTCCGAAGGATGGGAAAGTCACAGTGTAACGAAATATTGTAACTAAATTGAGCTTGGCGTCCCTGTCCACCCAGACTTAAATAGGTAGCATTAACTTGTACAGAGAAGTAAATGTAGCCAGTGTAACAGCTACCACATCAACCATCCAGTACCAATACTACTGCAACCACTACCACCACCACCATCACAACAACAACAGCAACAACAACAACAACAACAACTGTCACTAAAGTCTGTGTAGGTCGGTGTAGAAAAGAGGAGTTAGCGCCGAATGCTGTCACCACGTACACCGTGACAACCACCCGTTTAAGGGAAAAAAAACAATTATCACCTATCGGGGAATCGAACACTGGTCACCCGCGTGAAGGATGGTTTACTTAAAACTATACTACCGAATACTGAAGAGTTTGGGTCAGATATCGCAGCCTAGCTGTAAACGACAACACAACGTGCCAACGGCCCTCTCGAGGGCGAATGAAGAATACCCATGACATGACCATTGAGCAACATGTTGCCGCTGTCGCAATCTAGCTGCAAACTCCAAAACCAAAAAAGGCTAGATATTGCAGCCTAGCCATAAACCACAACACAACGTGCTAGCCGCCCAGTTAGGGGCTAAAAAAAATATTATATCACCTACCGGGGAATCGAATGCGGGTCACCCGCATGATAAGCAGAATAGTTATCAACTATGCTATCAAACACTCAAGAACATGGTGAAAATGTGATTATATAATTATGCAGAGTTCAATGAGAGCTCGGCACCCAAAAATAGCCAATCAGCTAAAAAGAAATCCGGGCCGGCAACGAAACAAATAATAATTCATGCTTTGAGTCAGAGGCAACGTTGTGTGAAAATTTGAAAACAATCGGTTCAGTAGTTTCAGAGTTATTATCTAACGACATCGTAAAATTAAGATTTTTATTAATATAGATGTTCACATACACATATTTACATATAATATATAAGAGAGAGAAAGAGTGCGTGAAATATATAGATTTAGAGAGACAGAGTTAGAGAGAGAGATATAGAGTGAGAGAGATAGAGAAAGCAACACACAGAGAGAGAAAAAAAAAGTTAAAGGGTGTGAGAAAAAGAGAGTGAGAGAGATAGAGAGAAAACAGCAGAGAGTGTAATGGAGATAAATAAATGTTGAATTAGGAATGAAAATCAACTGATTTTAAATATCATTGGTAAATATTGCTGAATCTAAGAACCATTAACTCTTTGAGTCTCAAGGAACGCATCATATTTTCCTACCTAGAAGCCAAATCAATGCATGATACGCCGATTTTATGACTCTATTTACTACCCCTTGGCCCTGTGATGCTAAACCCCCTGGAACTCAAAGTGTTAAATATGTTTTCTTTTTCTGAGACAGGCAACTGCTCCAATGTGCTGGATACCTTTAAGTGTGCTTGTCCCAGAGGTTACACTGGTCCAGTGTGCCAATACGATGTGGACAACTGTGACTCTAATCCCTGCCAGAATGGAGGGACCTGCTTTGATCGGGTGGATGACTTTGTTTGCAGGTGTCCTGAGCAATTTACAGGTAGGTTTCCCAAAAAAGTTTTGCCATTGAATTAACCATATGTATCATTTCCTCTACTCCCCCTCCCTCCCACTCCCACCACACACAAAACTGGCTGATACATTCAATTTTTGGGGACAGCTGCTTTTTTTTTTAGTCTGCTCTCTAGACCAGTAATTCCCAAACTGTGCGCAGTGGCGCCCCGGGGAGCCGGGACCTCTTCACAGGAATGCTGCAAAATTTTTGAAGATACACAAGTTTTTTTTACTTCCTACGTATGAATAGTCATACTTTTACTTAGGTTAGGGTGCCGTAGAAAAATTGTAATAAAAAAAAAAAAAGCTCTGCAACTAAGAAAAGTTTGGGAAACCCTGGTCTAGAAGTTGCACTCTCCTGCTGTTGAAATCTGCAAAGTCTACACTAACAAAATACTAGTTTAACAACATTTGGTAAACTATACATAGTGTTGGCTGGAGCAGTTTGTTTGACAAAGTTTGGCCATTGAATTAACTGTATGTGTTGTTTCCTCCCTAAAAATGACACACACACACGCACACACACACACATGCACATACACAACTGGTTGATACATTCCATTTCCAGGAACAGCTTTTATTTATTTTTGAGTCTCCTCTCTAGACAGTTGCAGTCTCCTCTTTAGACAGTTGCAGTCTCCTCTTTAGACAGTTGCAGTCTCCTCTCTAGACAGTTGCAGTCTCCTCTTTAGACAGTTGCAGTCTCCTCTTTAGACAGTTGCAGTCTCCTCTCTAGACAGTTGCAGTCTCCTCTTTAGACAGTTGCAGTCTCCTCTTTAGACAGTTGCAGTCTCCTCTTTAGACAGTTGCAGTCTCCTCTTTAGACAGTTGCAGTCTCCTCTCTAGACAGTTGCAGTCTCCTCTCTAGACAGTTGCAGTCTCCTCTCTAGACAGTTGCAGTCTCCTCTCTAGACAGTTGCAGTCTCCTCTTTAGACAGTTGCAGTCTCCTCTTTAGACAGTTGCAGTCTCCTCTCTAGACAGTTGCAGTCTCCTCTCTAGACAGTTGCAGTCTCCTCTCTAGACAGTTGCAGTCTCCTCTCTAGACAGTTGCAGTCTCCTCTCTAGACAGTTGCAGTCTCCTCTTTAGACAGTTGCAGTCTCCTCTTTAGACAGTTGCAGTCTCCTCTCTAGACAGTTGCAGTCTCCTCTTTAGACAGTTGCAGTCTCCTCTCTAGACAGTTGCAGTCTCCTCTTTAGACAGTTGCAGTCTCCTCTTTAGACAGTTGCAGTCTCCTGCTGTAGACAGTTGCAGTCTCCTCTCTAGACAGTTGCAGTCTCCTGCTGTAGACAGTTGCAGTCTCCTCTCTAGACAGTTGCAGTCTCCTCTCTAGACAGTTGCAGTCTCCTCTCTAGACAGTTGCAGTCTCCTCTCTAGACAGTTGCAGTCTCCTCTCTAGACAGTTGCAGTCTCCTCTCTAGACAGTTGCAGTCTCCTCTCTAGACAGTTGCAGTCTCCTCTCTAGACAGTTGCAGTCTCCTCTCTAGACAGTTGCAGTCTCCTCTCTAGACAGTTGCAGTCTCCTCTCTAGACAGTTGCAGTCTCCTCTCTAGACAGTTGCAGTCTCCTCTCTAGACAGTTGCAGTCTCCTCTCTAGACAGTTGCAGTCTCCTCTCTAGACAGTTGCAGTCTCCTCTTTAGACAGTTGCAGTCTCCTCTCTAGACAGTTGCAGTCTCCTCTTTAGACAGTTGTCTCCTCTCTAGACAGTTGCAGTCTCCTCTCTAGACAGTTGCAGTCTCCTCTTTAGACAGTTGCAGTCTCCTCTCTAGACAGTTGCAGTCTCCTGCTGTTGAGATCTGCAAATTCCAACCCAGCATAACACAAGGTTAACAACATTTCGTATCTTTACATGTTGTTGGCTGGGACAGATTGTTTTACATGAGTTTGGCCATTGAGGTAACTGTGTCGATTCCCCCTTCTCCCTCACCCCTTTCCCCCCAAAAAAACTCACTGGTTGACATATTTCCTTTCTTGGGACAGCTTTTTTCTTTTAGTCTCCTCTCTAGACAGTTGCAGTCTCCTGCTGTCATGATCCGTATTATCGTATTAAAGGAGCACTGCAGCTAAAACATTATGAGAACAGTGTGCCAGTTGAGGCTACAATCTTTATCGGTCACCAACCCATTTCAACATAACGCAAGCACAAAACCTGCTACTTCTGTGAAACCATGAAACATTTAATGTATCCTGCATTGGAAACATACACATAATAACTCTGTGACCACGTGTCAGTAAATTGCTACAGGTAGTCTACGCTCTAAATGGGTAGAAAGCATTCGGAAGTCACAGTTAACCTCCATGATCTGGACCTACACACGTGGACACGTGGGAGTAAATGGCAATGAAAGAGCTGACCACCTGGCAAGTAATGCACTGATGCATATGGAAAGAGGCATGGTCAGAGCTGATATCATCAACCCTGTACTGACTATGTTAGGGGATGATGACGAATCTCTGACAACTGTGTGACTGAGGAGTTAAGCTTGGTAAAGCATATCTTATGTTGTCTTCGAGGTAAAGACAAGAGATATTATAACCAACTCCTCATGGGAAAAATCAGTAGAGGTACCTTAGAATTGCTGCTGCATCGGAGGACTGATCACGCATGGGAATGCCCAATGTACAAAGACGACGATTGTGATAACATCATCATCATCATGTAGCAGTCCTTTGCAGAATGTCGCTCTTATCACGGTCTGCCTGAAAGAATGTCAGTCTCTCGCCAGCTCTCCCGACTCACGTACTTTCATACTCAAGGAATCACCTAGATCCTGTACCCATTTTCATGTTGGTTGGCCCCTGCCTCTCCTTCCTGGTACCATACCTTCTGCTATAATTTTTTTTCAAAAAATTTCAGTTTCTGAGACAGGATGCTGTTTATTAGTCAATCTTCCTTGATGTTCAGATCTTTCAAGATGTCAGTATTTCTCCTTTTCTTTGTCCAAGATATTCTGAGAATCTTTCTATAGCATTTCAGCTCAAAAGCCCCTATTCTCTTTCTTAAGGACTGGGAGATAGTCCAAGACTCACATCTGTATGTTGCTACAGGGAAGATGCATTCTCTCAAAATTTGAATTTTGATCTCCTTGCTGATGCTTAACCATAGACTTTTAAGGCTGTTTAATGATAACATAACATCAAATAATAATAGTTCATGGAAAAAAAAAATTAGGAACCTGAACAAAAAACACAGCCAGCAAATACCCAGCTATATTTATGCCCCCCGACTAAAGCCAGGGTGGGGCTTCAAGAAAACTAAAAATTGCATCCCACAAGGAGATGAGAAGTCAATTCTGATTTATACAGCTGATAAGTTTCATGTTCGAGTGTTTCAGATTTGAGGCAGCTTGCCAAGTTATGAGGTGTGCAGTATTGATTAGGTCAAGTCAAGTCAAGCAAAAGTAGAACTTAAAAAATTAGAAGCCGTCCATGCAGTCTTTTCAAATCAGAAAAGAGTTGAGTTAAGTCAAGAATTGACATCACAGCACTTGGGGCATTCCCATGCATGCTCCATACTCATCTTCAGCAGCCAATGCAGAATTTAAATACTGATGGTACCGGTCAAAACCTGGTTATATGTCTGTCTTGCCTATCCTCTGAGAGTAGTGAACCGGCCAGACCCTATGGTTACACCCAGATGCCTCATTCTCTCCGGGCCATAATAATCTTGTCTCTCTACTGATTCCGTTGCTTGTTCCCAAAGGGCCTTGACCACATCTGCCTTGTCATGTATCAATTCACCACCCAGTTGTATAGATCCAGCCAATCTGTCTTCCTATTCATTGCCCACCACGCCGGCATAGCCTGAAGAAAAGATCCCAAGTTTGCTAACTACTCGTAACCTTTCCAGTAAAGCTTTGCACTCTGCTTGAAGCAAATGATATATGAAAACAAAAAATTCTGAACTTTTTCAGTACCGGGGAGTAAATATGTAAAATTTCCCCCACCAGGACATCACACAGAGCGATAAACACCCGGTAACAAAAAGTGCCACCATTCTGTGGAAAGGTCCCAGAAACCCCGTTCAACCTTTAGGTTATATTAGGGCGCCCGGCAACAGCCAGGGTGGGACTACAAAAAAACAAAAATTGCATCCTACAAGGGGACGACTTTAGTATACTAGTCCCAGAGAAATCATATTGCGTTCACTGGTTTATGTTTATATGGTACATATCTTTGTGCTCTTTAGGTACTATTTATCTATTATATTAACCCATTCTAAATAAATTATTACTCAAACCTCTTCTGTCCCAGTGCTGTACGTTTCATTAAAATAAGACTGTAACATTGTTACTGTAAGGTGCAGGAACTTTAGGATAAACAGTCTTGAATTAGGAATTACTTGGGACTGGACAATTTAGGATGGTCACCCTTGGAAGGCCAGTTGACTGACTGACTTTCTACCCCACCAGGACATCACACAAGCGATAAACACCCGATGACACAAAGTGCCACCATATGGATGAGGATCGCCGTGGAGAGGTCCCAGAAACCGCGTTCAGACATTTGGCCATATTTATGGCCTGCCTATATTGCGGCCCCTGGCAAAAGCCAGGGTGGGGCTTCAAATAACAAAAATTTCGTCCTAAAACACTGCTGATGTTCCTTAGGGTAACACTGTTGATGTTCCTTAGGGTAACACTGCTAATGTTCCTTAGGGTAACACTGCTGATGTTCCTTAGGGTAACACTGCTGATGTTCCTTAGGGTAACACTGCTGATGTTCCTTAGGGTAACACTGCTGATGTTCCTTAGGGTAACACTGCTGATGTTCCTTAGGGTAACACTGCTGATGTTCCTTAGGCTAACACTGCTGATGTTCCTTAGGGTAACACTGCTGATGTTCTTTAGGGTAACACTGCTGATGTTCCTTTGGGTAACACTGCTGATGTTCCTTAGCGTAACACTGCTGATGTTCTTTAGGGTAACACTGCTGATGTTCCTTTGGGTAACACTGCTGATGTTCCTTAGCGTAACACTGCTGATGTTCCTTAGGCTAACACTGCTGATGTTCCTTAGGGTAACACTGCTGATGTTCCTTAGGGTAACACTGCTGATGTTCCTTAGGGTAACACTGCTGATGTTCCTTTGGGTAACACTGATGATGTTCCTTAGGATAAAATTGCTGATGTTCCTTAGGGTAAAACTGCTGATGTTCTTTAGGGTAACACTGCTGATGTTCCTTAGGGTAAAACTGCTGATGTTCCTTAGGGTAAAACTGCTGATGTTCTTTAGGGTAACACTGCTGATGTTCCTTAGGGTAAAACTGCTGATGTTCCTTAGGGTAAAACTGCTGATGTTGTTTAGGGTAACACTGCTGATGTTATTTAGGGTAACACTGCTGATGTTCCTTAGGGTAAAACTGCTGTTGAAATTATTCAATGAACATCATATTGAGTTTCTTATCTTCTTCTTCTCTTCTTTAATTCCTATGTCACCACTTCACGTGTAGAGGAAGATGTAAGATTTTGCTTCTCCCTTTTCTGGCCGCCTTGATCACAGACACTTCCCTCTGTATTTCTCTGATGTTACTTATCCATTTTGTCCTTGGTCTACCCTGTGTTCTATATCCTTCCCCTCTTTTGATGAATGTCTTGTATGGTCACGAGGCATTCTCTCTAAGTGGGCAAACCATTTGATTTGCTGGCTTTGCATGCAATTTAGAACTGGTTCTGTGCTGACTTTTTCTCTTATGATCTCCTTTACGATTTTGTTTCTTCGGGTCTGATCACACCTATAGCCCTTCTCAGACACCTCATTTCCATGTTTAGTAATGTTCTTTTTGTTGTTGTTTTGTTGTGAGTGACCATGACTAGCACTGGTAACATGGGGTAGCAATGAATATGCTGTATGTGAGATGCTTCTTGTTCATATAGTAATGCACCTGACGAGATAAAAAAAAAAAAAAAAAAAATACGAAACATAAAATTTTGCAATGTACTGTTTGGGTCAGCAGTATTTAATTTGCACTGGGAAAACATTATTGTTAATTTCTATAGTAGTTCTTAAAGGGAGCCATATTGTCATAGCAACTAAATGCTAATCTGATGGCTCAACCTGAATGTCTTCCCAGATTGTTTTCATTCAAAACTGCCCTTGGCTCCAGGAATGCTTGAGCCTAAAATGGGTACCAGTCCTGGAGAGTGAAGATGGCTAGTTTGATACTGACCACATCATCAGTCAAGTGCTTATTGTGCTATCAAATGAGTTTAGCATCATATGCCCAGTGTGCCAGTTCTCATCATCCGCGTACTTTGTTCTCTTTTCTCTTATAGCCAAATGATACTTTGTTCTCTTTTCTCTTATAGTCAAATGATACTTTGTTCTCTTTGCTCTTATAGCCAAATGATACTTTGTACTCTTTTCTCTTATAGTCAAATGATACTTTGTTCTCTTTGCTCTTATAGCCAAATGATACTTTGTTCTCTTTTCTCTTATAGCCAAATGATACTTTGTTCTCTTTTCTCTTATAGCCAAATGATACTTTGTTCTCTTTTCTCTTATAGCCAAATGATACTTTGTTCTCTTTTCTCTAATAGTCACATGGTACTTTGTTATCTTTTATCTTATAGCCAAATGGTACTTTGTTCTCTTTTCTCTTATAGCCAAATGATACTTTGTTCTCTTTTCTCTTATAGTCACATGGTACTTTGTTCTCTTTTCTCTTATAGCCAAATGATACTTTGTTCTCTTTTCTCTTATAGCCACATGGTACTTTGTTCTCTTTTCTCTTATAGCCACATGGTACTTTGTTCTCTTTTCTCTTATAGAAACATGGTACTTTGTTCTCTTTTCTCTTATAGCCACATGGTACTTTGTTCTCTTTTCTCTTATAGCCACATGGTACTTTGTTCTCTTTTCTTTTATAGCCACATGGTACTTTGTTCTCTTTTCTCTTATAGCCACATGGTACTTTGTTCTCTTTTCTCTTATAGCCACATGGTACTCTGTTCTATTTTCTCTTATAGCCACATGGTATTTTGTTCTCATTTCTCTTATAGCCAAATGATACTTTGTTCTCTTTTCTCTTATAGTCACATAATACTTTGTTCTCTTTTCTTTTATAGCCACATGGTACTTTGTTCTTTTTTACTTATAGCCACATGGTACTTTGTTCTCATTTCTCTTATAGCCAAATGGTACTTTGTTCTCTTTTCTCTTATAGCCACATGGTACTTTGTTCTCTTTTTCTCACATTATCTTTTCTCTTATAGCCACATTCTCTTTTCTCTTATTGTCACATTCTCTTTTCTTTTATAGCCACGTTCTCTTTTCTCTTACAGCCACATTCTCTTTTCTCTTATAGCCACATTCTCTTTTCTTTTATAGCCACATTCTCTCTTCTCTTATAGCCACATCTCTTTTAGCCACATCTCTTATAGCCACATCTATGATAGCCACATCTCTTATAGCCACATCTCTATTAGCCACATCTCTTAAAACCACATCTCTTATAGCCACATCTGCTATAGCCACATCTCTTATAGCCACATCTCTTATAGCCACATCTCTTATAGCCACATTTCTTATAGCCACATCTCTTATAGCCACATCTCTTATAGCCACCTCTCTTATAGCCACATCTCTAATAGCCACATCTCTTATAGCCACATCTCTAATAGCCACATCTCTAATAGCCACATCTCTTATAGCCACATCTCTTACAGCCACATCTCTTACAGCCACATCTCTTATAGCCACATCTCTTATAGCCACATCTCTAAAAGCCACATCTCTTAAAGCCACATCTCTTATAGCCACATCTCTTATAGCCACATCTCTTATAGCCACATCTCTTATAGCCACATCTCTTATAGTCACATCTCCTTTGTTCTCTTTTCTGTTGTAGACCACAACCAGCCCCCTGGATACAAGTGAGGACAGCCAGGCCATGATGACAGCCCCAACTGAAGATGGTTCTTATTTGGTTGACGACATTTCAACAGCTGAGACACTAAGAATAGAGGAGAGTTCCTCACCTGGACCAGCCACAACACTAGAGGAAAGTTCCTCCTCACTCGGACCAACAACACTTCTAGAGGAAAGTTCCTCCTCACTCAGACTAACAACACTTCTAGAGGAAAGTTCCTCCTCACTCGGACTAACAACACTTCTAGAGGAAAGTTCCTCCTCACTCGGACTAACAACACTTCTAGAGGAAAGTTCCTCCTCACTCGGACTAACAACACTTCTAGAGGAAAGTTCCTCCTCACTCGGACTAACAACACTTCTAGAGGAAAGCACTATTGGTGCAAGTAATGAAAGTCTGAGTACCGAAACTACATCTATAGTGTCCCAAGAAGATTTCACACTAGACAACGTCACCCAGCATCCAGACCGCACAGCTGACCACAGCTATCTGGAAACCAACAGTACGGTAGCCACTGAAAGTACCCATATCCAGTTGGACAATACAACAGTCACCACTTCACTGTCAGGCAGTTCTGTGTCTGAACCAGCCATCTCAACAGTCAGTACCAAATTCACATACACAGACACTAGTAAAGAAGATTTTGATAAGACGACACAAACAGAAGATGGCACATATTTAATATTTGAAATTGTAACAGATCAGCATGTCACTGATAGAAGGACTTTGGTTACAGATACAACAACTGCTTCAGGAGTAGATCATGTTTCCCCCTCAAAAACAGAAATAACTGACATACCATCTGGTGATAGAGAGGTGACATCAGGTGAACCTCTTTCAACACCAAAAATAACTGACATACCATCTGGTGATAGAGAAGTGACATCAGGTGAACCTCTTTCAACACCAGAAATAACTGACATACCATCTGGTGATAGAGAGGTGACATCAGGTGAACCTCTTTCAACACCAGAAATAACTGACATACTATCTGGTGATAGAGAGGTGACATCAGGTGAACCTCTTTCAACAGCAGAGATAACTAAAACAACCTCTGGTGATAAAAAAGTGACATCAAGTGAACTTTTGTCAACAACAGAAATAACTGAAACACCTTCTGGTGATGGAGAAGTGACATCAGGAGAAGTGACATTAGAAGAAGTGACACCAGAAGAAGTGACATCAGGTGAACCTTTTTCAACAACAGCAAAAACTGAAATGACATCTGGTGATAGAGAAGTGACATCAAGTGAACCTTTCTCAACTACTGAAATAACTGAAATGACATCTGGTGATAGAGAAGTGACATCAAGTGAACCTTTCTCAACTCCTGAAATAACATCTGGTGACAGAGAAGTGACATCAGGTGAACCTTTCTCGACAACTGAAATAACTGAAACAACATCTGGGGATGGAGAAGTGACATCAGGAGAAGTGACATCAGGTGAACCTTTTTCGACAACTGAAATAACTGAAACACCATCTGGTGATAGAGATGTGAGATCAGGTGAACCTCTTTCAACAACAGGAATAACTGAAATGCCATCTGGTGATAGAGAAGTGTCAGCGAGTGAACCTTTCTCGACAACTGAAATAACTGAAACACCATCTGGGGATAGAGAAGTGACATCAGGAGAAGTGACATCAGGTGAACCTCTATCAACAACAGAAATAACTGAAATGCCATCCGGTGATAGAGAAGTGACATTCGGTGAACCATTCTCGACAACTGAAATAACTGAAACACCATCTGGGGATAGAGAAGTGACATCAGAAGAAGTTACATCAGGTGAACCTCTTTCAACAACAGAAATAACTGAAATGCCATCTGGTGATAGAGAAGTGACATCAGATGAAGTGACATCAGGTGAAAGTCTTTCAACAACAGAAATAACTGAAATGCCATCTGGTGATAGAGATGTGACATCAGGTGAACCTCTATCAACAACAGAAATAACTGAAATGCCCTCCGGTGATAGAAAAGTGACATTGGGTGAACCATTCTCGACAACTGAAATAACTGAAACACCATATGGGGACAGAGAAGTGACATCAGGAGAAGTTACATCAAGTGAACCTTTCTTGACAACTGAAATAACTGAAACACCATCTGGGGATAGAGAAGTGACATCAGGAGAAGTAACATCGGGTGAACCTTTTTCAACAACTGAAATAATTGAAACACCATCTGGTGATAGAGAAGTGACATCAGGTGAACCTCTATCAACAACAGAAATAACTGAAACGCCATCTGGTGATAGAGATGTGACATCAGGTAAACCTCTTTTAATAACAGAAATAACTAAAATGCCATCTGGTGATAGAGATGTGACATCAGATCAACGTCTTTCAACAACAGAAATAACTGAAATGCCATCCAGTGATACAGAAGTGACATCAGGTGAACCTTTCTTGACAACTGAAATAACCAAAACAACATCTGGGGATGGAGAAGTGACATCAGGAGAAGTGACATCAGGAGAAGTAACATCAGGTGAACCTTTTTCAACAACTGAAATAATTGAAACACCATCTGGTGATAGAGAAGTGACATCAGGTGAACCTCTATCAACAACAGAAATAACTGAAACGCCATCTGGTGATAGAGATGTGACATCAGGTGAACCTCTTTTAATAACAGAAATAACTAAAATGCCATCTGGTGATAGAGATGTGACATCAGATCAACGTCTTTCAACAACAGAAATAACTGAAATGCCATCCAGTGATACAGAAGTGACATCAGGTGAACCTTTCTTGACAACTGAAATAACCAAAACAACATCTGGGGATGGAGAAGTGACATCAGGAGAAGTGACATCAGGAGAAGTAACATCAGGTGAACCTTTTTCAACAACTGAAATAATTGAAACACCATCTGGTGATAGAGAAGTGACATCAGGTGAACCTCTATCAACAACAGAAATAACTGAAACGCCATCTGGTGATAGAGATGTGACATCAGGTGTGAAAATAACCAAAACCTCTTTTAATAACAGAAATAACTAAAATGCCATCTGGTGATAGAGATGTGACATCAGATCAACGTCTTTCAACAACAGAAATAACTGAAATGCCATCCAGTGATACAGAAGTGACATCAGGTGAACCTTTCTTGACAACTGAAATAACCAAAACAACATCTGGGGATGGAGAAGTGACATCAGGAGAAGTGACATCAGGAGAAGTGAAATCAGGAGAAGTTACATCAGGTGAACCTTTTTCGACGACCGAAATAACTGAAACACCATCTGGCGAAAAAGACCATCTGACATCAGGAGAAGTGACATCAGGTGTGAAAACACCATCTGGTGATAGAGAAGTGAACCTTTTTCGACAACTGAAATAACTGAAACACCATCTGGTGAAAGAGGCGTGACATCAGGTGAACCTTTCTCGACAACTGAAATAACTGAAACACCATCTGGGGATAGAGAAGTGACATCAGGAGATGTTACATCAGGTGAACCTCTTTCAACAACAGAAATAACTGAAATGCCATCTGGTGATAGAGAAGTGACATCGGGTGAACCTTTCTCCACAGCTGAAATAACTGAAAAACTGAAATAACCAAAACACACATCTGGGGATAGAGAAGTGACATCAGGAGAAGTGACATCAGTGAAATTTCCTCACAATTGAAATAACTGAAACACCATCTGGGGATGACATCAGGAGAAGTGACATCAGGTGAAGTGAAACACCCATCAGACATCAGGTGAACCTTTTTCGACAACTGAAATTGAAACACCATCTGGGGATAGAGAAAGTGACATCAGGACTGAATAACTGAACATCTGGGGTGAACCTCTTTCAACATCAGATGAAATAACAGAAATAACTGAAATGCCCATCTGGTGATAGAGAAGTGACATCGGGTGAACCTTTCTCCACAGCTGAAATAACTGAAAAACACTATCTGGGGATAGAGAAGTGACATCAGGAGAAGTGACATCAGAAGAAATAACTGACATCTGGGTAGAGAAGTGACATCAGGTGAAGTGACATCAGATGAACCTCTTTCAACAACAGAAATAACAGAAATGCCATCTGGTGATAAAGAAGTGACATTGGGTGAACCTCTCTCCACAACCGAAATAACTGAAACACTATCTGGGGATAGAGAAGTAACATCGGGTGAACCTTTTTCAACAACTGAAATAATTGAAACACCATCTGGTGATATAGAAGTGACATCAGGTGAACCTCTATCAACAACAGAAATAACTGAAACACCATCTGGTGATAGAGATGTGACATCAGATCAACGTCTTTCAACAACAGAAATAACTGAAATGCCATCCAGTGATACAGAAGTGACATCAGGTGAACCTTTCTTGACAACTGAAATAACCAAAACAACATCTGGGGATGGAGAAGTGACATCAGGAGAAGTGACATCAGGAGAAGTGACATCAGGAGAAGTTACATCAGGTGAACCTTTTTCGACGACCGAAATAACTGAAACACCATCTGGGGATGGAGAAGTGACATCAGGAGAAGTGACATCAGGTGAACCTCTTTCAACAACAGAAATAACTGAAATGCCATCTGGTGATAGAGAAGTGACATCGGGTGAACCTTTCTCCACAGCTGAAATAACTGAAACACTATCTGGGGATAGAGAAGTGACATCAGGAGAAGTGACATCAGGTGAAACTTTCTCAACAATTGAAATAACTGAAACACCATCTGGGGATAGAGAAGTGACATCAGGAGAAGTGACATCGGGTGAATCTTTCTCAACAACTGAAATAACTGAAACACCATCTGGGGATAGAGAAGTAATATCAGGAGAAGTGACATCAGGTGAACCTTTCTCAACAACTGAAACACCATCTGGGGATAGTGAAGGGACATCAGGAGAAGTTACATTGGGTGAACCTTTCTCAACAACTGAAATAACTGAAACACCATCTGGGGATAGAGAAGTAACATCAGGAGAAGTGACATCAGGTGAACCTTTCTTAACAACTGAAATAACTGAAACACCATCTGGGGATAGAGAAGTGACATCAGGAGAAGTGACATCAGGTGAACCTTTGTCAGCAACAGAAATAACTGAAATGCCATCTGGTGATAGAGAAGTGACATCGGGTGAACCTTTCTCCACAGCTGAAATAACTGAAACACCATCTGGGGATAGAGAAGTGACATTAGGAGAAGCAACATCGGGTGAACCTTTCTCAGCAACTGAAATAACTGAAACACCATCTGGGGATAGAGAAGTGACATCAGGTGAAGTGACATCAGGTGAACCTCTTTCAACAACAGAAATAACTGAAATGCCATCTGGTGATAGAGAAGTGACATCGGGTGAACCTTTCTCCACAGCTGAAATAACTGAAACACTATCTGGGGATAGAGAAGTGACATCAGGAGAAGTGACATCAGGTGAAACTTTCTCGACCATTGAAATAACTGAAACACCATCTGGGGATAGAGAAGTGACATCAGGTGAAGAGACACCAGGTGAACCTCTTTCAACAACAGAAATAACTGAAATGCCATCTGGTGATAGAGAAGTGACATTGGGTGAACCTCTCTCCACAACCAAAATAACTGAAACACCATCTGGGGATAGAGAAGTGACATCAGGAGAAGTAACATCAGGTGAAACTTTCTTGACAACTGAAATAACTGAAACACCATCTGGGGATAGAGAAGTGACATTAGGAGAAGTGACAGGTGAACCTTTCTCAACAACTGAAATAACTGAAACACCATCTGGGGATAGAGAAGTGACATCAGGAGAAGTGACATCAGGTGAACCTTTCTCTACAACTGAAATCACTGAAACACCATCTGGGGATAGAGAAGTAACATCAGGAGAAGTGTCATCAGGCGAACCTTTTTCGACAACTGAAATAACTGAAACAGCATCCGGGGATAAAGAAGTAACATTAGGTGAACCTTTCTCGACAACTGAAATAACTGAAACACCCTCTGGTGAAAGAGAAGTGACATCAGGAGAAGTGACGTCAGGTGAAGCTCTCTCAGCAACAGAGTTAACTGAAACACCATCTGGTGATAGAGAAGTGACATCGGGTGAACCTTTCTCAACAACTGAAATAACAAAAACACTATCTGGTGATAGAGAAGTGACATCAGGAGAAGTGACATCAGGTGAAGCTCTCTCAACAACAGAATTAACTGAAACACCATCTGGTGACAGAGAAGTGACATTAGGTGAAGCTCTCTCAACAACAGAATTAACTGAAACACCATCTGGTGACAGAGAAGTGACATCAGGTGAACCTCTCTCAACAACTGAAATAATTGAAACAGCTTCAGTTGATGGTGAAGGGACAGTATTCACCACCACAGCTTTTCCACTTGTCAAAGAACAAGATGATAGCACAGAAAAGCCAGTAAATGAAAGTGTAACACCTCTGGATAACACAACACTGTCAACTCCTGGCACAGATATACAGTTTACAGAAACCACTTCCATAGTTGGTGACAATGCAACATTTGAACTGGATACAGAACTATTTCAGGCGACCACAAAGAGCCAGGTATCATGCGAAGAAGATGAAGAGGGTTCTGGAGATTATGAAAGAGTCACATCTGAAAGTGGTGGACTGATTTATGTTCTGTCAAAAATCAATGATGTTTTGATCCGGATTGGCTGTAAGAAAACTACAACGGAAACTTTGGGGCTGAATGTGACTGCTGAACCATATGAAAGGATTGAAAATACAACTTTCTCAGTCAGTGACATGAATGACACTGCTCTACCTGACAGCACACTTGAGACACCTGAAACAGTAACATCCCCAACGGTTAGTGAACCGGAAAACACAACATCGGCCATTGCTTTACTGTTGACTACAAATGGGATCCATCTTGTGGAAAAAGAGAAGGCTACAGACGATTCTAGCATCGACAAAGTTATCACAGCATCACACAGTACAACAATGACAGCTACAACAACTGAAAGCAACATACTGCCACTTCCTGGAAACGGTGGCTTCCCCTTGCCTCAAGACAATGAAACGGTTACTTCAGTTGTTGATGTTTATGTCCCTGCTGACTCTGAAACCACTGCCTCGTCTGAGGAAATAACTAGAGAGATTTACACTACCTCTTCAAATGTATCTGAAATAGTTACTGATGAAGTTGCTGTCATTTATGAGAATACAACAGGCTCAAAGGCTCCCTTTTCTGTTGACAGTTTAATGGAACAGAACATAACAGTCAGCAAAACTACACCATTTAAACATTTCACAAAAGTATGGGAAAGACCCTCAACAACTCAAGCATCAAGTCCACTGACACAAACAACTGTAGATATGAGGCTCATTGCAACTAAACCGTGGGAACGTGAGAAACACATGACTCCAACAAAGAAATGGGAAGAAGAAACAACCAGGAAGATGGACATTCTCACAAAACCCTGGGAGAGGAGGACTAGTCAGCCAAGTACAACCAGCACATCATTGCAAACAACATATATGACCATCGCTCTTTTTAACGCAACAACCGAGTCAAATATGACCACACCCACAACTGAAGCTACAACTGAGTCAAATATGACCACACCCACAGCTGAAGCTACAACTGAGTCAAATATGACCACACCTGCAACTGAAGCTACAACTGAGTCAAATATGACCACACCCGCAACTAAAGCTACAACTGAGTCAAATATGACCACACCCGCAACTGAAGCTACAACTGAGTCAAATATGACCACACACCCGCTGAAGTTACAAAGCAAATATGACCACACCCGCAACTGAGTCAGATATGACCACACCTGGAATTGAAGCTACAACTGAGTCAAATATGACCACACCTGGAACTGAAGCTACAACTGAGTCAGATATGACCACACCCACAACTGAAGCTACAACCGAGTCAAATATGACCACACCTGGAACTGAAGCTACAACCGAGTCAAATATGACCATGCCTCTTTTTAATGTAACAAGTGAGTCAAAAATGACCACTACTGCAGTTGAATTCGATATGACCACAGTTATGACTGAAGTTACAACAGTAGACTATTTAAACATCACAACTCCTACATTTGATGTAACATCAACTGAATCAAATACTACAACACCTATCACTGAAGAAACAACTGAATCAGATATTACCACCCCAACAGCCGAAGCAACAACAACTGAATCAAATATTACTATTCCCACTGCTGAGGTAACAGCAGAAACTACAACAGAACCTGCAACAACAGAAATGGAAAGAACAACAGCATCCACAACAACAGAAATTGAAACAACAACAGAAACTGAAAGAACAACAGAACCTACCACAACAGAAATTAAAACAGCAACAGAGCGTGCCACAACAGAGCTTGAAACGATTTTAACAGAAACTGCAACAACAGAGATTGAAACAACAACAGAAACTGCAACAAAACCTGCCACAACAGAGATTGAAATAACAACAGAAACTGCCACAACAGAGATTGAAACAACAACAGAACCTGCCACAACAGAGATTGAAACAACAACAGAAACTGCAACAACAAAACCTGCCACAACAGAGATTGAAACAACAACAGAAACTGCAACAACAGAAACTACCGCAGAAGAACCTGCAACAACAAAAACTGAAACAATAAAAGAACTGGCAACAACAGAACCATCCAAGGAAACACCTCAGCCAGAAACATCTGCTGCAGCAAAGACAACAACAACAACAGAAGGTGCCACACCGCCTACAGCTGCCACCTCCAGCCAGCCTGTCCCAGAATCAACTGTTAAAAGCACACAGCCCTTTACTACAACAAGCCAGAGACTGCCTCGAATTGAAACACACCCTGTGGTAACTTTCACAATAAAGCCCCCAGCAGCTACAGAAAAATACACACAATCCACCTCTGATGCTGTTACATTAGATACTAGAAGTACATCTCAAGTCAGCAACACCAGTTCAGAAACAGAGAGCACTAAGGTCACATCTCAAGCTACATCTCCATCTGAAGGTATCTCCTCTCCCTTGCCAGTTACAAGTAGCTCTTCTGCTACTGCAGAGCGTGAGCATAGCACTTTAACTTATGGACTTCCAGACTCCTCAGTGTCACCCAGAGAAGAGTTTTCTGAAACAACAACATTGCTGACTTCAACTGTTACAGCACCAGTCCTGCCTCTAGTTGTCACCCATCCTGTAGAAATTGTAACACTGCCGATAGAAGTGACTTCTCCGACAAAAGTGACCACAACTTTGGTTCTGCCTACAGAAAGCACAACACACTTCAGAAATACTTCCCTGGCTCAGGATGACCTTTCTTTAACTACAACACCTTCTGGAAGTGATAGGGTTACAAGTTCACGGCAACCATCTACACCTGGTTGGACTGAGGAAACAACACAACCAACTATCAAGACAAGCCAGCTGGCACTTTACATCAAGACACATGCCATAGAGACAGCCACACTGGAAACAGCAACAGAGAGCCCAACAACAAAACAGGAGACACATCATTTTGGTGATTTAGTCACAGATACGAGCAAAGCTGATCCAACTGTCACATCCAAACAAACAACTGCAGCCACCATGATGGACACAACCTCACATGGAGAGTCCACACTGTCTTCCACTGGCTTCAGCACAACTCACCCCATGCTGGTTGTCAAACTTCACACGGCTCAAACTGTGACAGTGATGCCGGTATCTGCTGACGCAGGAACTGCTTCTACTGATCAACAAACCACAAGGTCCACCACCGTTCCTGCAGACAAGACATCACTAGCACCTCGAATTGACGCTATACAAGTCCAGACTTACCCAGAACAGGTATTTACTGTAAGACCACACAATGGAAGGCATTCAGCTACCCCTCAGTACGTCACAAACACATCTGAAGAGCTGACAACCACACTCAAAACTGTGACAACCACACCTGAAACTGTGACGACCACACCTGAAACTGTGACAACCACACCTGAAACTGTGACGACCACACCTGAAACTGTGACAAGCACACCTAAAGAGCTGACAACCACACCTGAAACTATGACAACCACAGCTGAAACTGTGACAAGCACACCTGAAGAGCTGACAACCACACCTGAAACTGTGATGACCACACCTGAAACTGTGAGAACCACACCTGAAACTGTGACGACCACACCTGAAACTGTGACAAGCACACCTGAAGAACTGACGACCACACTCGAAACTGTGACAAGCACACCTGAAGAGCTGACAACCACACCTGAAACTGTGATGACCACACCTGAAACTGTGACAAGCACACCTGAAGAGCTGACAACCCCACCTGAAACTGTGACGACCACACCTGAAACTGTGACAAGCACACCTGAAGAGCTGACAACTACACCTGAAACTGTGACAACCACACCTGAAACTATGACAACAACATCTGAAACTGTGACAACCACACCTAAAGATGATGACCACAGCAAGTCAGACACAACCAGGGAAGAATATACTACAATGAGTGGAATCAAGTTAGTCACCCAAAAACCGGCAATTACTGTTCCGATAAATATAACAACAGCAACTGATACACCTTCGCAATGGCAAAGTTCACGGGGACCTGCAGTAGATACTCCTGGACCGACACCTCTGGGAAAAACCAGACATACAACCAAAACCTCTGATTTAGTTTCAGAGATCTTGGAAACAACAACAACAGTAGCAACCACAACCTGGCCACAGAGGAAAACCAAAAAGCCACCTATTTACAGGGGTCGTCGTCCTATAATCCCTCCAAGACGTCGAGGACCTGCACAAAAGCCTTCCTCACAAAATACAACTTCAGAAGAAAGTAAAGCAACACTTCATGGTTTTATTACGGACGCACTGAAGATCAGTAATGAGACACTATCAGCGACCTACATTCGTGCCAGAGAAACACTCAGAAAATCCCTACAACAGCTGGCACAACTGTGGCACCAGGTTGTCCATGGTGTGGTAGAAGTCGTGTACGTCCCCGCCACTAAAGGATATTCAAATTACAGCCAACAGTTGTCTCAGGCGTATAAAAATATCAAACAAGCGTACGAGTATGGCACCAATGCGTTACGGAAAACATACAATCATGTCTCAAATAATCTGACAAGCTACTACAATGGTCTGATAAACTACTTTCAGAGTGCCTACAATTATTACTATGATTTGTTACAAGTCAGCAGACGTAGAAAGAAGAGGAGATAAGCTGAACATGATGCCTGAGACTTACATTCCTGTCTCTGTTAAATAAATATATAACTGATAGATAAATCAAAGACATGCCAGCGAGCTATAACGAAAACATTTTCACCATTTCAAAAACTGTTGGATACATCAAAAACAGGCTCAAATACAATTATATCTACCATTCCACTGAAAATATATCTGACATAAACACTAGTCATGTGCTTAAATAAAATCATATCCACCAAACCTATACAAACTTTAAAGTATATTTGTTATTGCAATCCATTACTTATTAAGGGATTCAATTTTTCACACTGTACTTGTACTTTCACCCGAAATGTTTTTATTTTAAAATAAAAGATCTGTTTCCATACCTTTGACACATATTAGGCCGATTTTGCTAACCTCATACATTTATGTTTTTCTGTGTATACCTTTGCTGTATATTCACAAGTTTTATTTTTTATGAATCTTTACCATTCAGTATATAGTATTGACTCTTTATACGATTATATCTTATAGCATTTTTTGTAGTGATAATAAACCCACTGTTGGCTTACAAAGCCTATGCAAATTTCACAAGAGCAACACTTGCTGTGTTTTGGGCAGACCCCGGTTAAATTTCACACCTACTGTAACAGCCTTGTGACACAAAGTACAACCGCACTTTGTTCAGTCTTTGCAAATCCTACTCTACAACAGTATGATGTGTCTATGGTTGAAGTGACCAGAAAAGAAAAGAAGCCAAACCTTATATCTAAACATCTGAAGTGATACAAGTGAAGAAGAAAAAGAAGACTGTGTCACAGGTATCATTACTAGTCATTCATTTGAATTCCAACCTTCCCTATCTCTTTAGTTTTTACTAGCGTCTGTTTTGTTGTTGTTGTTGTGCACCCAGGCCTGGTTAAAGCTTGATAATAACATAAGATATATCAATGAGGCCTCTCCTGAGCACTTAATATATATATATATATATATAAACACAGAGATAACAACCTGGATGGCTTGGCTATATTGATTGGGCGAGACAAAAACACTGACCTGATCCATAGTTCTGGGGATCATGTGAGTTGGTGAAACACAACAGCCTATGCTTATCAGCACAGCACATGATGATAATGAATAATCTTTTAGTTGCAAAATCTTTACCACAAACTACAATATATTATATTACCTGGATTTAGTACTTAATCTTTTTGCACCACTGGGGAAAGAAAACAACAACCCATTTTTTATAATTCTATAAAACTCTACGCTAAAATATTAGAAAAGGAAGTAGAAGAAAACTGGAGTCTTGTCCAGTCTTCATAAATATCCCGGGAAGGAGGGATGAGAACCCCCAGATCACTGAGCAGAGCAGCAGGCTTGAAGTCCCCTGCTTCTTAATGACATCATATCACTCAACAAAACAAAACGAAAAAAAAAAAGCTTCCCAGTTATTAATTATCGAAATTAAGAAAAGGTTTATTTTCTATATGAAGGGAAGTAATCACTAAATAAAAGAGGAGCTTAGAAATATGTGATTTCCTTCCCTTTGACCATTTGAAAGTGGTGTTGTCACAGAAAGCAGTGTCTGATAACTGTGAAAGTATATAATTAGTTGCGAATCCTTTACAGGACGTTGCAGAACCAACCCCAGTAATTTTTTGCTGTTGTAGTTTTCCTAGGCAAATTTTACATTCAGTAGTTTGCCATTGCCATCTGAAAAGTCAGCTTTCTAGACCACAGTCGAAACCAACGCCCCCAAAAAAATCATCCGCAGCTGGGATCGAACCCGGCACCCTGCATTACGAAGCGTGTTTACAACGCCTAAGCCACAGACGCCATGAAAGTATATAGCGTCAAGAAAAATCCACAAGTTTTTAAAAATCTATTTTTTTTGTCCACCTAATATAATATCTAATAACAGCAATTACCAAGAGAAGTCATACAAATGTACTGGGCACTGTCATACATGTGTACTGGGCACTGTCATACATGTGTACTGGGCACTGTCATACATGGGTACTGGGCACTGTCATACATGGGTACTGGGCACAGTCATACATGTATATTGGGCACTGTCATACATGTGTACTGGGCACTGTTATAAATGTGTAATAGGCACTGTTATAAATGTGTAATAGGCACTGTCATACACATTTACTGGGCACTGTCATACATGTGTACTGAGCACAGTCATATGTGTGTACTGGGCACTGTCATACACATGTACTGGGCACTGTCATACACATGTACTGGGCACAGTCATACACATGTACTGGGCACTGTCATACATGTGTACTGGGTACTGTCATATATGTGTACTGGGCACTGTTATAAATGTGTACTAGGCACTGTCATACACATTTACTGGGCACTGTCATACATGTGTACTGAGCACAGTCATACATGTGTACTGGGCACTGTCATACATGTGTACTGGGCACCGTCATATATGTGTAATGGGCACTGTCATACATGTGAACTGGGCACTGTCATAAATGTGTAATAGGCACTGTCATACACTTTTACTGGGCACTGTCATACATGTGTAATGGGCACTGTCATACATGTGTACTGGGCACTGTCATACTGTCATAAATGTTTAACAGGCACTGTCATAGACATGTACTGGGCACTGCAATACACATGTACTGGGCACTGTCATACACATGTGCTGGGCACTGTCATACACATGTACTGGGCACTGTTATAAATGTGTAACAGGCACTGTCATACATGTGTACTGGGCACCATCTAAAGCCTTCATGTCAACCTACACCTGTAAAAAGACGGAAGAATGGCTTTCTCATGGTGAGAGGTTTGGTGAAAATGAAGAAGTAATTTAACATACAAGATTAGAAAATTAGGAAAATAACATATCATAGGTCAATTTTTATCAGTATCTGTGACGTAGGCGTTCAGAAAAAATAAATTATTGGTAATTCCGAGATACCTGCTCTAAATATCAATTAACTCAGCTATCTCTTTTACAAATGTCACTTAACTCGGCTATCTCTTTTACAAAAGTCACTTAACTCAGCTATCTCTTTCACAAATATCCCTTAACTAGTTGCAGAAAATTTCACAGCAGACCGCCTTGCACTGATTTCAACAAGAAGAGTATCAAGAGCTGACTTTTCAGAAAGCAACAGGAAACACTGCTGAACATAAAATTATCTTCTTCCTGAAGTCTATGTCGTGTGGTGTTGGTAGTCGTGACTGTCCACAACCTTCTGTCTCGTGTACTTTAAAGCAATGACAGATTATCCTCCATAGGATGATGTTAAGCTGTCCAGCATCTTTTGTCTCAGTCAACTTCTGCCTCTCCTCCCTTCCAACTTTCCTATGTCACGATGTACTCCAGTTTTCTCCTTCTGATCATGAAACCAAAGAATGTAGATTGTTTCTTTCTGAAGCTGGCAGACGGTTCTCTTCAAGAGTCAGTTTCTTTCAAGATTTCTTCATTACTCTTTTTATTTGTCCAGGTGAAACTATGGGGGTTACTGCAGTCAAGCTAATATAATGAATTCCAGAGAAATTTGACTAAAAAGCTCAACATTTTGTTGAGCTTTTAAGTCAAATTTCTCTGGAATTCATTATCTGTCCAGGGTATTCTCATCATGTGTTTATAAAACCACATCTCTGCAGCTTCAAAATAATTTTTTTTACTAATCTAATCTACCAACTGTCCATGATTCCCTTACTTATATCAAGATAAGATTTATATAGCTTTTAAAAGTTCTCTTACTCGCTTCAATCGAAAAAGAAAGATTGCATAAAATATTCTTCATTTTGTAAAATGCTTGAGCTATTCTACATTTAACATCTGTAATAAATCTTCCATCTGATGTAATCAGGGTACCCAAGTGCTTAAACATATCAACTTGCTTGAGGTTTGTCCCATTTACTTTGGTGTTGCATTTTAGAGGGTCAGGCAAAACCAAAAACATCCAACAAATGCTGGTGTTGCATTTTAGAGGGTCAGGCAAAACCAAAAACATCCAACAAATGCTGGTGTTGCATTTTAGAGGGTCAGACAAAACCAAAAACATCCAACAAATGCTGGTGTTGCATTTTAGAGTGTCAGACAAAACCAAAAACATCCAACAAATGCTGGTGTTGCATTTTAAAGGGTCAGACAAAACCAAAAACATCCAACAAATGCTGGTGTTGCATTTTAGAGTGTCAGACAAAACCAAAAACATCCAACAAATGCTGGTGTTGCTTCTGCAAAGTCCTGTAAAGGATATACAATTTTGTGTAAACCACACCTACAAACAATAGAATTATATAAGTAACCGGATAATCGCAAACTATCTGTTTACTGATTGTTGAGTAACAGTGATTTATGTAAAAGAGATAGCTAAGATCCTTGTGCACTATTTATTTTTGAGATCTTCTTCATTACACATCAGATATCACCGTAAGTGCTCTGATCACGTCATGAGTATGTCTTCAAGTGGCTTTAGGTTAACAACTTCCATTCTGTTCTGGTTGATGTAACGATGGGTAGCTCCCGCATGGTTTTCCTGTCTCGCGACTCTAATTGGTACACCCAGGGCATGCAGTCTATTCAGTACGCAGTATATTTGGACTTCCGGTCAAAATGGACGCTAGGCAGAGGCACTGTTTAGAGCCGAGGCAAATTTTTTGCTTCTGCCAGATGGTGGCCGATGCATTTTTGCTCCATTTATAGACTGGATATAATTTCATCGCCCAGCTTCTGAGCTGAATGCATGGTGTGACACTGTGAGCTGCAGATTTCATGTGGAATGTTTTTTTCAACTGTGACCAACGTGGTGGTGTGAATTGTAGATTTAGAAAATGGCACGATGCCTCTTGTCGCAATGTTGGTGGTGCCCTTATGTGATTAAAATTGATCGCGCGGGCAACTGCTGATCTGTTAGGGACTTCTGCTACCATCAATGATGAACTGCATTTCTAATGTCAGACTGTTTGTGTTAGCACTTTGGATGTCTACCGTATGCTTTAGTGCGTGTGTATGCTAGATATGCTGAGACAGCAGTCTGTCAATCTTTCCACCAGGGACTGTGATAAACATTCCGTGCGTTTTTTGTTGGCACAGGAGCGGAGCAAAGATGGGGTGACCCGTTTGCTATGAAGCTGAAACTAAGACTACCAGACAGTCTATTCACTAAAAAATCATTTTCCACAAAACTGAGAGTTAGGTGATATATGTAAAAGAGATAGCTAAGTTAAGTGATATATGTAAAAGAGATAGCTAAGTTAAGTGATATATGTAAAAGAGATAGCCAAGTAAAGTGATATATGTAAAAGAGATAGCTAAGTTAAGTGATATATGTAAAAGAGATAGCCGAGTTAAGTGATATTTGTAAAAGAGAGAGCCGAATTAAGTGACATTTGTAAAAGAGATAGCCGAATTAAGTGATATATGTAAAAGAGATAGCCGAGTTAAGTGATATATGTAAAAGAGATAGCCGAGTTAAGTGATATATGTAAAAGAGATAGCCGAGTTAAGTGATATATGTAAAAGAGATAGCCGAGTAAAGTGATATATGTAAAAGAGATAGCCGAGTTAAGTGATATTTGTAAAAGAGAGAGCCGAATTAAGTGACATTTGTAAAAGAGATAGCTGAGTTAAAAGACATTTGTAAAAGAGATAGCCTAGTTAAGTGATATATTTGTGAAAGGGATAGCTGAGTTAAGTGACTTTTGTAAAAGAGATAGCCGAGTTAAGTGACATTTGTAAAAGAGATAGCTGAGTTAAGTGATATTTGTAAATGAAATAGCCGATTTAAGTGATATTTGTAAAAGGGCCGAGTTAAGTGATATTTGTAAAAGATATAGAGTTAAGTGATATTTGTAAAAGAGATAGCTGAGTTAAATGATATTTGTAAAAGAGATAGCTGAGTTAAATGATATTTGTAAAGAGATAGCTCAGTGAAGTGATAAATGTAAAGCTGTATCGTTCAGCTACAGTGATTATTTGTAAAGCTGTGAAGTGATAAACTGGCTGTTCTTTTAACTTGTTACTGTTGTTAATTGTTGGTAGAGTTCCCCGCTGTGTTCCCAGTCTAAAGAAGCATTCAACCCATGTTGAGAAGGGTGTTCAGTAGTCATGCATGGTTGCAAATATGTCAGGAATGGTCGGCAGTTTGTCAGGAATGGCCATCAAGTTGTCAGGTGTGGTTACCAGTTTGTCTGAGATGGTTGCTAATTTGTAAGGAATTGTTGCCGATTAGTTGTCTAGCATGGTTGCCAATTTGTCAGGTGTGGTTACCAGTTTGTCTGAGATGGTTGCTAATTTGTCAGGAATTGTTGCCGATTAGTTGGCTAGCATGGTTGCCAATTTGTCAGGCATGGCTGCTAATTTGTCAAGAATGGGTGCCCAATTTGTCAGGTGGGTTGCCAGCTTGTCAGGAATGGTTGCCAAGTTGTCAGGAATGACTGTCAATTGAGAACTGCTAGGTAGATCAATGGCAATGGATGTGAAACAAAAACATCGGTTCTTTGTTAATATCCTACCCCAGATGACATCACAGGACAGTCCAACATTTTAGAGGGTGGCAAAACTGGGTTTCCCAGCTTTCTGATGCTTTTAACGACCCCAAAACATCTAGAACTGGCCCTAACCCCAACCCACCTACGTCCCACGAGAGAGTGCACCCTAGGTCCTACGACTGCATGCAGCCTATCTACCACAACCTGAATTATTAGACTGTCCATGACCTGTGGATTTCCCCTGTTTGGGGTGGGATATTAATAAAGCACCAAAACATCTGTTCAGTGTGAAAAGATACATAGTCCACAAAACAAATTCACAAAATTCTTTAGGCAACCATAGATTGTGAGGCCCTAGGGTAAAGCTTGTTTAGTCTAAAGATGAATCAGGATCTGGGTGCGGCCAAACAAAGTGCCCACCCACTGAAATATTTAGCATCCGTTTTTCATTTTATTGTAGGATCAATATCTGACATGTTGTTGCAGATCTTACTTAATAAAACTAAAAGTTGAATAAACTTGCACAAGTTTTATGTCAGTTGTTACAGTTATATTCCTTTGTCAAATCTGTCTATGTTATCAGAAATAAGAAAGCGGGAGCTAATCAACTGTCAGAAACAGGAGGGACAACAGAAAAGCCAGATGTACCAGTCACATACACACATTTTTTTTTAATTAATCAGAAAAACCATCACACAAGATGCCCACCCTGTTATGAATAGACCAGAACAAGCCATTATTCAGTCTCAGAACAGGGCACAACAGACTACACAGTGGAACGTCGCTGCTGAAGATGAGGATGGAGTGCTTAAGGGTGCTGAGTGCTGTGATGACAGTTCTTAGCTTAACACTCAACAAGCTGGATCCACAGTTAGCAGGCCTCCCAGCTCAGATCAAATTTCATGCCCACAAACAGAATAATTGACTTCTCACCGAAGAACTGCTGTCACAGCCCTTGGGAGATTTCTATAGGCGCTGCATCCCCATCTTTCGAAGCAAGTGCAGAGTTCCAGTTCTGATGGTACCAGTAATAATCTGATTGTAAATCTGTCTCGCCCCTTCTCCAAGATCCCCTGGCCACTCCTCCCTGCACCGTGACGATCTGTTTGTGTCTCTGCAATTTTTACTCGATCCGAAAGGGCCTTTACAGAATCTAGTTTGTCATGCATCAATTTACCACCAATTGGTGTTGAACCAGCCAGTCTATCAGTCTGTTCATTTCCAAACACATGCTCTGAGAAAATATCAAAATGACGCTAACTGCCCAGACCTCTGAAAAATGTTTGCCACTTTGCACGCCTGTCTTCGCCTTTCTTGACATGCTCAGTCTCTCATTCAGCTGCTTTTACTGTATGTATGTTTCCTTTTTTAGGGCAGTGTAGGACGCAAGGGTCTTGAGTCTAAAAATCTGCACATTCACAAATTTGTCTTCAAGATGACCTGCCCCCCAGTCCTGTGCCGACTTTCCCCCAGCCATCTCTCACAACCTCTGTGGGAGGTTAGTGTTTCTATTCTTTGCTTCCCGAAAGAGTCTTGGTAATGGAGGAGTGTGGATTAGGAAACAGAAACCATTCATCTGAAGCAAAACGGTTCACAATGAAAATCATGACCAACTAGAATGTTCTTCCACAGCAACCCTCATTTGGTAGTCAGTCAGTAGCATGTCCGTTGCAGAACCTTGCTCCCATTACAACCTCCCGAAAAACTTCTCAATCATGAGCAAGATGTCCCCGCTGCTGATTCACCCATCTGGAGATCATCCGCCACAGCCTGCACCCATCTTCTCTTTAGCCATCCTCTTCCTCTCTTCCCAGGCATATACCCCTCTGTCACTGTTCTCTCTAAACTTTCATGACATTTAAAGTGACCAAAATATTTCAATTTTCTGTGTTTGTCTTTAATAGCCAACCTTCTTTGATATTCAGTTCTGGAAGCTTGGATGCATTTGTTCTGTTCTTCACCGATGCTATTCTTAGAACCCGTCTATAACATGTGTATTCAAAGACATGTATGTACTGTTCAGATTGTTTAGAAACTGTCCAGGTCTAACAGGCGTATGTTACAATGGGAAAGATGCATGCTTTTAAAATTTTTTTTATTTCTGTCAGTCCCTCTCTATAATTTATTCACTTACTTTTGAAGAGCAATTGATAGTCGTTTAATATTTAAAGCTTCAATATCACAGCATTTAGGACAAGCCCATATTAGGTCCGTCTCATTCATCATCAACCAGCGCTGCCTCCATACTGATGGGACACGTTATCTGATAAACTACACCTCGTCATCCACCTGAGCCTCCAGCAGTGCCCAGGGTCCGCATCTGGTAGTTAGCATCCTTTGCATATTTTCTCCTGGTCATGCCGGTGTGTTGAGAAATGAGCAGGCAGACAGACTGGCCAGTGCTGCACCACTTGGTGGTGAACTGACGTATGACAAGCTAGATATAGTGAAGGCCCTTTCGAAGCAAGTGAACAGTGAAAGGAATAATGTGAGGCCCAAAAAACACACAGCGGAGGACATTAGGAAATGGGGTGGGGAAAAAAGAATAGGAGGAAGTGGGCAGAGCTGCATACAGTAACAAAGGGAAGGACTTTTGATGCGAAAACAACAACACATGACATTCTTCAATTTATTCGTGTACAAAAGACTTGTTTGAATTACAATACAAGCAAATACAACAAGAAACAGCATCAACATGTCTTTTTTTCTTCCTCAACCATCAAACTTGAACCTGAATATATATTAAAAACAAAGTAAGGATCTCTCAATGTGATCTGGCTAGCATCTCCATAAAGTGCTAGTATGAACCACAAAATAGTACTGGGCTTTCTTGTGGCAACTGTTTGGTCATTATTCTACCAGATTTCCTCACATGGGTCCTGGGGGAACCCATCGGGGTTGGGAGAATTCAACTAACAAGGATGAGGTTTTTACATGGGCCAAATCCTCTTCATGAGGTCTCACACAGACTCAAACCTCTCCACAAGGTCTCACACAGACCAAACTCTCTTCATGAGGTCTCACACAGACTCAAACCTCTCCACAAGGTCTCACACAGACTAAACTCTCTCCACAAGGTCTCACAAAGACTAAACTCTCTCCACAAGGTCGCACACAGACCAAACTCTCTCCATGGGGTCTCACACAGAATAAAATCTCTCCACAAGGTCTCACACAGACTCAAACCTCTCCACAAGGTCTCTCACAAGACCAAACTCTCTCCATGAGGTCTCACACAGACTAAAATCTCTATAAAGGGCTCACACAGACCAAACTATATCCATGAGGTCTCTCACAGATCAAACTCTCTCCATGAGGTCTCACACAGACCAAACTCTCTCCATGAGGTCTCACACAGACCAAACTCTCTCCATGAGGTCTCTCACAGACCAAACTCTCTCCATGAGGTCTCTCACAGACCAAACTCTCTCCATGAGGTCTCACACAGACCAATTGCTCTCCATGAGGTCTCACACAGACCAAACTCTCTCCATGAGGTCTCACACAGACCAAATCCTCTGAATGAGGTCTCACACACACCAAACTCTCTCCATGAGGTCTCACACAGACCAAATCCTCTCCATGAGGTCTCAAACAAACCAAACTCTCTCCATGAGGTCTCTCACAGATCATAACCCCAAGTTCTCTCATGGATCATAGCCCCGGGGTCTCTCACAGATCATAACCCCTCTTAGAAGTATCTCACAGATTGATGCTTTCTCACATCAGCTAATGGGATATTATATGAAAGCATCGCTTAGAACGATAAAGCATTGCCTAATAGCAACATATTCAGAACTAGTAACCAGATACCTTGCATGTAACTGAAGATGAGCACAATATTATAGTTTTGGCTGATGTCAAAACAAAACACGCACAAAAGCCTCATTATTTCCTCCTTTATTCATTTGACATTTTTAATTACACAAATGTAATACACCACAAGGGCAAACATACCATACACAAGGGCATACATACCACACACAACCAGGGCATACATACCAAAAGAAGAGATGGATGTAGAGTTCAAGGTGGACCACGGTAAAACAAGATGTAATCATATGAGATAATAACTCTATTCAGTACAATATTTTTATGGCTGAGGTGACCAAAATGGCAGTCAGCAGAACCCCTTCCCGTGTGACATCCGGTGCTCTATTTTAGGGACTAGAGGAAAGAAAAACTTACTGGCTCCCAACAAGCATGTCTAAAAAAAATTAAGAGTTTGCTGAAATCGAGTGTGTTCAGCCAAAAGTTGCTGATATCACAGCCTAGCTGTAAACTATAATACAACATGTCAACAATGCTGGTAAGGGGAGGGCAGAAGAATACCGCTAACAGTTAAAGCAATAACAGAGGGCTAACAGTTGAAGCAATAACAGAGGGCTAACAGTTGAAGAAATAACAGAGGGCTAACAGTTGAAGCAATAACAGAGGGCTAACAGTTGAAGCAATAACAGAGGGCTAACAGTTGAAGCAATAACAGAGGATGTGAGACAGAAAAACTACACAAAGCATTTGTCATGATTTCACTTTCTAAAATTAATAACACTGAAATAAACATTTATTTCTACACCCCATGGTAGAAGAGGATCCACAAAAAAAAAAAAAAAAAAAAAAAAAAAAAAAAAAAAAAGAACAAGTAGAAATAAATATTGCCCTCTAAACCCCAATCTAGACTAGGATCGACTTAAACGAAAGTAGAAATAAACAATTTTGACAATACTTCATAATAGCAAACAATAAAAAAAACTTTAATAACAAAAATAAAGCTTTTTGTTACATCACAATAACAAGTGAATGAATAGTGCTTTCTGTAATTTTGCCAGGGCAGCTACCTCACATTTCAATTGCGCTGGGATATTATTCTGGGAAGACTATGCACACGCAAAAATGGAATGACAGCATGAAGAAGAAACAGCCATAATGAAATGAAGATCAACTTATACCATGCATTAGAAAGGTAAGGGTAAAGTCGGGAGATGTGAACCGGCCTCATTGCACAGGGTTATAAACCATAAGTGCTCTGCCACCAGTACGGACAGCTGATAAGAAACTGTCTGGCTGTGTCGCTGTCCGCACAAAACTCCGTAGCTACAGCAACATTACTCCATTTACTTACAGAGTGTTACCTCTGGTACCCATTACCTTGAGGCCAGGTAAACTCCAGGAGGAACTGCCCGGCTTCTAAAACTGATCCTGGGCTGCAGCGAGACGCAGCTGAATTTGAAAGCGAGTCTCCTATCGACTGCGCTAACGTGAAAGAGCACACAGAAGACCCCCCCCCCTTACACTTCAATTAGGTAACTAAAGAAACAGCAGCTTGCACAAGGAACCAAGTCTTTCCATTCTTTTATCTGAAGAGACTAGGTATCAATGTTCACTACCCAAGAGATTAGGAGATGTGCGATGCATATTAGAAACTAAGGACAAGAGATAGTCATCCTATCTTATAATGTTGTGTCCTAATACATGTCACAGCCTAACACCGAACATGCTTCAGTCAGAACCTACTCCCCCTCTCTCTCTCACGGCGCCCACAACACACATACAAACATGCTGAAACATAATACAGGGTCTCCTGTCCAACTGGTCAAAAGTCAAATTCATATTTGTCAACATTATTTCCATTCAAACAAGTTAGAAAAATGGTATGTAAAACACAAAAATTAAATGTTTTGGACATATAATTATTGTACATTCTGTGAAAAATACATGTGTAATCAATCAACTGCATCAATTCCATGAACTTCTGACCCTATCAATGTAGTTATCTTTATTTACTCTTTTATTTATAAATTTATTTTTTTTGGGGGTGGTCCTAAGTGCAGATGGTCATAAGTCGAGGAGAAGGTGAACAATGTAAGACATGGGAAAAAGCCTGACATGCACATTAATCACAGCCTCACTGGCTCTTGTCTGCACTAGCCTTTTTCTTCAGTGCCCTGCTCCTGGACTGCTCCATGAAGTGCAGCTTCACAGAGGCTGGAACGTACTGCATGTAGAGGTCCTGCAATATCAATTATGGTTGGGTTAATAACACTATCTGCATGTAGAGGTCGTGCAATATCAATTATGGTTGGGTTATCAACACTGTCTGCATGTAGAGGTCCTGCAACATCAATTATGGTTGGGTTATCAACACTGACTGCATGTAGAGGTCCTGCAACATCAATTATGGTTGGGTTAATAACACTATCTGCATGTAGAGGTCGTGCAACATCAATTATGGTTGGGTTATCAACCCTGTCTGCATGTAGAAGTCCTGCAATATCAATTATGGTTGGGTTAACAACACTGACTGCATGTAGAGGTCCTGCAATATCAATTATGGTTGGGTTATCAACACTGCCTGCATGTAGAGGTCATGCAATATCAATTATGGTTAGGTTATCAACACTGACTGCATGTAGAGGTCCTGCAAAATTCAATTATGGTTGGGTTATCAACACTGTCTGCATTTAGAGGTCGTGCAATATCAATTATGGTTGGGTTAACAACACTGTCTGCATGTGGAGGTCGTGCAATATCAATTATGGTTGGGTTAACAACACTGTCTGCATGTGGAGGTCCTGCAATATCAATTATGGTTGGGTTAACAACACTGACTGCATGTAGAGGTCGTGCAATATCAATTATGGTTGGGTTTTCAACACTGCCTGCATGTAGAGGTCGTGCAATATCAATTATGGTTAGGTTATCAACACTGACTGCATGTAGAGGTCCTGCAAAATTCAATTATGGTTGGGTTATCAACACTGTCTGCATTTAGAGGTCGTGCAATATCAATTATGGTTAGGTTATCAACACTGTCTGCATGTAGAGGTCCTGCAAAATTCAATTATGGTTGGGTTATCAACACTGTCTGCATTTAGAGGTCGTGCAATATCAATTATGGTTGGGTTAACAACACTGTCTGCATGTGGAGGTCGTGCAATATCAATTATGGTTGGGTTAACAACACTGTCTGCATGTGGAGGTCCTGCAATATCAATTATGGTTGGGTTAACAACACTGACTGCATGTAGAGGTCGTGCAATATCAATTATGGTTGGGTTATCAACACTGCCTGCATGTAGAGGTCGTGCAATATCAATTATGGTTAGGTTATCAACACTGACTGCATGTAGAGGTCCTGCAAAATTCAATTATGGTTGGGTTATCAACACTGTCTGCATTTAGAGGTCGTGCAATATCAATTATGGTTAGGTTATCAACACTGTCTGCATGTAGAGGTCCTGCAATATTAATTATGGTTGGGTTATCAACACTGTCTGCATGTAGAGGTCCTGCAATATTAATTATGGTTGGGTTATCAACACTGTCTGCATGTAGAGGTCCTGCAATATCAATTATGGTTCAGTTATCAACACTGTCTGCATGTAGAGGTCCTGCAATATCAATTATGGTTGGGTTATCAACACTGTCTGCATGTAGAGGTCCTGCAATATTAATTATGGTTCAGTTATCAACACTGTCTGCATGTAGAGGTCCTGCAATATCAATTATGGTTCAGTTATCAACACTGTCTGCATGTAGAGGTCCTGCAATATCAATTATGGTTCCGTTATCAACACTGTCTGCATGTAGAGGTCCTGCAATATCAATTATGGTTGGGTTATCAACAATGTCTGCATGTAGAGGTCCTGCAATATCAATTATGGTTCAGTTATCAACACTGTCTGCATGTAGAGGTCCTGCAATATCAATTATGGTTGGGTTATCAACACTGTCTGCATGTAGAGGTCCTGCAATATCAATTATGGTTGGGTTATCAACACTGTCTGCATTTAGAGGTCGTGCAATATCAATTATGGTTGGGTTAACAACACTGTCTGCATGTGGAGGTCGTGCAATATCAATTATGGTTGGGTTAACAACACTGTCTGCATGTGGAGGTCCTGCAATATCAATTATGGTTGGGTTATCAACACTGTCTGCATGTAGAGGTCCTGCAATATCAATTATGGTTCAGTTATCAACACTGTCTGCATGTAGAGGTCCTGCAATATCAATTATGGTTGGGTTATCAACACTGTCTGCATGTAGAGGTCCTGCAATATCAATTATGGTTCAGTTATCAACACTGTCTGCATGTAGAGGTCGTGCAATATCAATTATGGTTGGGTTATCAACACTGTCTGCATGTTCAGGTTCTTTTTCAGGAGAGCAGCAAGAGATGAAGTTTCTTTCGGGCAGATGATGAGAGCGACGTTCCGCAAAGGACCTGCTATGTAATGATGACGTATTGTTAGACCGACTGGCATTCCTTACCTCCGCAGAACTGCAGATACACCAGGCTGGTTTAACTGTTCCAGGTGCCTTAAATAAAGCTATTTTGGGTTGAACAAGGTATTTGGGAATCTGCCATACTTATTGAGATTTTGTTATCTCTAGGTGGTAAACCCTTTTATGCTTCCCCCCCTGCAGGGGTGAAACGGATTGACTCACCTTTTGTCACTTGAAAGGTGCTATGGTCAGCGTAGTCTGACAGCTTTAGCTCTGACTAAATCCCATTTAGGTCTACGTCAAATTCGGAGACTATGTCAATAAATAATAAATTTAAAAAATAATAACTATGAACAAAGTGAGTTCAGCCATGACTTGACTCGCTTGAATTAAAAACTCCAATCACGTTCAATCACTCTGGATAAACTTTTAGTTCTAATTATGAGCTTTATAATGTTGTCTGCATTTGTGGCTTTGGCATTAAGAACGCGCTTGGTAATGATGGAGTGCATCCAGGCTGCAGGCGATCATTCAGAAAGCAATAGCAAACTACTGGATGCAAATGTACCTAGATCAGCTCTGCTGAAAAGTCCTGGTTGTTCATCCATCTGGACTTTGTGACAGGGCCTGAGTTTTGCACGTACATCTGTTTTACTGGTTTGTGTGTTGGTTTTTCCCTCGCTGCTCGAGCAGATGCACTCTGACTTCGAAGGAAGTCCCCAATTAATTGACATGCTCGTTAATGAGGCAGTGGGTTTATTCTGTTTTTTTTCTCACAATGAGGCTCTAGATCTCACCCAGGGATACCAAGATGCATCTGGTAGGGTACTCCCCCTGATGGGGCAGATCACCTGCTTTGCTCTCGCAGTCTTTGATTCCGATGAGTGAGTTCAGCCAACTACCCATGTCTTCATGTTTTATCACAAAAACTCGCCTGGCGGTGTAAATCAGACAGTGACACAAGAAGAAGAAGAAGAAGCAGCAGAAGAAGAAGAAGAAGAAGAAAAGGAAGAAAACATGCCTGAAGTGTTTTGAACGCTGCAAGCAGATAACCTACCTGAAGGGCGTGTGACCAGTAACCTGTGGTGTTGTTGGTAACACCGACTGTGTTCAAGGCACTCTTCACAAACGTGGTGGGGCTGGGCACAAACAGGGATGACTTGCGGAATTTGCTCAACTTACTGACCACAAAGTATGGCCGCACACACTGAAACGACAATATGTTTAGTCAGACAGGAAACAGAACTACAGTCTAGCTAATACCAAGATATTAATCCACTAAACTGTGACCAACTGGGGACTGGTGGCCAGGGTACTCTGCCTACTGTTGCTGCTGCGTGGTTTATGTTGAGAATGGCTCCGGCCTAAAGATCCAGTTGTTCCCTTTCGCCTTAGATAAAGCTTCTTAGCCAGAGTTCAGTGGATTATTTGATGGACAGCCTTCAACCATTTTGAACCCAGTAAGCCATAAGACCTGCCTTAAAACTGACAGAATAAAACATCACATACCCACATGACAGCATTTGCCATGGAACTAACTTACTTTTCACAGTAACTTAAATTTGCAAGCTTTTCGAAAAAAAACGACAGAACATAAAACATAATCTCAATATAATTGGACAATGGAAAAACATTCTCTCAACATAATTCGACAAAAAGTAAAAACATTTAACATAACCAGATAAATAAAATACTCTCTTAACATAACTAGACAAAAGGAAAAACACTAAACATAACTAGGACCCCCCCCCCCCCCCCCCCCAATCAATCAACATGACTGTACACAGGGAAAAACACAACATAACCAGATGAAAAAAACCACTCTTAAAATAACCAAAGGGGGAAAAAAGCTCTCAACTTAACTGGACAGTGGGAAAACATTCTCAAAATAACTGGACAGTGGAAAAACATTTTCTCAGAATAACTGGACAGTGGGAAAACACATTCTCAGCACAACTGGACAGTGGGAAAACATATTCTCAGCATAACTGGACAGTGGGAAAACACATTCTCAGCACAACTGGGCAGTGGGAAAACATATTCTCACTATTACTGGACAGTGGGAAAACATATTCTCAGCATAACTAGACAGTGGGAAAACATATTCTCAGCATAACTGGACAGTGGGAAAACATATTCTCAGCATAAATGGACAGTGGGAAAAACACTCTCAACGTAACTGGAAAGTGGGGAAACAATCGTTCATATAACTGGATAGTAAGAAAACATATTCTCAACATAAGTGGACAGTGGGAAAACATATTCTCAACATAACTGGACAGTGGGAAAACATATTCTCAACATAACTGGCCAACAGAAGACAAAGCTACTAAGCGATAATTATGTGCCACATTGTCACTGTGTTTCTAATCTCTCAATCAACTGGTTGTCATCTACCTGGACTGTAATTCCCTTCCCGTGGTACTCTGTGTCGAGAGCTCTTGAAAACACATCCACAAAAGCCTGGAAAAGACGAAAACAAGATACTTCAAGCTTGCCGTGGCAACAGGTAACCAAACACACACACACACACACACACACACACAACAACAGCTAATGAGGCATCATTTACACAAGCAACTGTGAGAGCGACTCTTCCGCATTCTAGAAAGAAAGAAAAGAAGTAGGAAGTGGAATTTACCTGTATTAGACCAATTTCCTGGTTCTAGAGCTCCATTTTGAAGAACAAAGAATAAACCCCCTGCCCCCTAACAAGCATGCCATAAAAGACCACTAGTTATGGGTATTTCCTTCAAACTTGGAGCGCATCTCCCTTAAAGGCAAAGGACCAAACAGTCTGCAAAACAAATAAGCCAGATCCGTAAAATGGATGTTCATGCAAAACTCAAGCTGTAGATCCAGACTGCAGTCCAGGAGTGGACAAACAACCAGAACTTTCCGCCAGACTTGACAGCTGGTGAAGGTTAAGAAGATTGACTTCATCTGTTACTTTAAGCAGAAATCATCTAGGTAAAGGAGCCTTTTTATGCCAGTCACACACTGAGGACATGACGCTTGACTCACATTTTTACAGACCAATCAGTAATATGGTTCACATCACACCGGCCGCCTTCGCCTCCCAGGATATTACTCAGTACCTATTTTATCTGGGGTCAACCTGTGTGCCAATGTTGATTTTTGAAAAAGAAAGAAACACTCCTTATCAATGCCAATTCCACATCATCACTTTCAGCCAAGCTGGTGTGCTGTTCATTCTACTGTTATTATTATTTTAATGTGTTATATATGAGCATGAAGAAGAAGAGGATTCAAAGTTAATGGTTGGAGTTGCTGAGAAAATCTTGTCTGAAAGGAATTAGGTTTCATTGTTGTGCCAGGACAAGCAGGGGTAAGAGGGAATGAACGAGCGGATTGGCTTGCTGTCGGGGCTATGGTTGGTACAGCAAGAGCAATGGACATGGTCAACATTTTCAATGCTCTCAAGGAGGCAGGACAAGAAGATGATTCAGGAGAGGATGTTGAGTTGGCAACACTCAAAAGACTACAAGACTCTGGGTCACAAGAGGTGTCGCCAAATGTGAACGCTATACAGGCAACCAAAAAAGAATACTAAACCAACACAGAACTGGTGTTATCAGTCTGGGGGACATACTGAAGATGGGATCCTAGCACTTATGATCTTGTTTGATGTCCAGTGAGGATAATCTTTGGATAAACTAACTAACTAAGGTGAGCTTGAGCCACAGCACCACGATCCCCTTTCAATAGAAAAGCAATATCTTAATAGTAATCAGGTAATCAAAGTTCCAGTTTCAGAGCAAGTGGGTCACCCCATAGCTGCCACATTCCTGTGCCATGAAACCCACACAGAATGTTCATCACTGTCAACTGTGGGGGGAACAGCTGACAGATTCCAGGCTCAGAAAAGCCCAATACAATACACAGGCAGTGCATACATAAAGCTGCCTGTCTTCGGAAGTGCCAAACAAATAGCCTGACACTAGAAGTGCAGGTCACTGTTAATAATTAAAAAAAAAATCACAAAAAATAGGCAGTAACACAAGCAATTTATCACATAAAGTACGACCAGTTCTCTGGCAACAACCTCATCATTTTCTGAATCTGCAGTCCCAGTAAAAACCACATTGGGCAGTTGAAAAGCATTCTATATGAAATCTGCAGCTCACAGTGTCATGCCATTCATTCAACTCAGTAGCTGGGTGATGGAACAATATCCATTCAGTCTACACAGGGGGGAAAATGCAATGGCTAACTGTTGTCAGAAGCAAAAACATGCCATAACTAAAAACAATATGCCTGCCTATCCACTATCATGACAGAAAGCTGACAGGTATAAGTGGTCTACATGCCATGTGAGAATAGGAGACACAAACAGATCATTATAGTCTCAAGAGAACAGTACAGCAAGCAGTGATGAAGGGATCTGGTCGACAATCAATACTTGGGGGAAGGCAAGAAGCACATTTGATCAAACTATTACTGGCACAGGGGAATTGCAACTCTTTGGGGCTGCGGAATATGAAGACAGAGCGTGTATTGGAATGTCCCGAGTGCCGCGTTGTCAGTTCTTAACTCACCTATATGTGGATAGACAGCTGGACAGACAGACATATGAATGGTTTAAATTAGTTGCTTATCCTTTGCAGGATGTTGCAGAACCAACCCCAGCACTTTCTGGCTGTTTTGGTATTTCTAGGCAAATTTACTTGCAGCAGTTTGCCATTGTTTTCTGGAAGGTCGGCTCTCGGTACCACGGTCAAAACCATTGCAAGACAAACCGTCCGCAGCAGGGATCGAACCCGGCACTACGAAGCACGTTCACAAAGCCTAAGCCACAGACGCCGACATATGGATGGATAGACAGTCAAAAATACAAACAGGTAAAATAAAGACAGATCATCACCTTCCACCACTATTTGTAAATGGTTGTCGCTAAGGATGATCGATGAAGAACACAGACAGATCAGAGACAAAAAGATATGCAGAGACATGCTGAGGTCTGTCTTACCTTGGTACCAGAGTACAAAGACAGCAAGGGAGCAGCAGTTGTGGCACTGCTAGATCCAATGTTGATCACATAACCACACTTCCTCTGAACCATTCCTGGCAACACGATTTTTGTCATCTGAAAACAGAATGCATATCCTCTTTACTTGACTGTTTGACCTGGGACAAATGGCTAAGGAAATCGGTGAACAATGAATGAGATGAACTTAAGAACAAAAGAGATATGTCTGGACAAAAGCTGGTATAAAAAAAATATAAGACAATAGAGATGGTGAAACACTAGGCACAGCCTGAGGAGAAGTGAACAGAAAATCACCAAAGAGGCACTTGAATGGGAAACAAACAGGAGGAAGTCCAAAATAAACCCTAAGAGAGATGCCAAAGGTGCTGGATTGGACTCCATCCATATGTTATGTTTTCACAATCAATGTCACTGCACAATGGGCATTCCCAGGCTTGCTCAGTACTCTGATGCAGCATCCACTTTAAAGTACTTTTATTAATTGGTCCTATGAGAAGCTGGTTATATGGTCTCCCTATCTCGGCCTCAAAGACGACATAAACGTGCTTTACCATGCTTTACTCCCGTGTCACGCAATTGTGTTAGTGTCAGGGATTCCTCATTATCCACTAGCCCAGTTTGTACAGCGTTGACGATATCTGCTCTGTCCATGTTTCTTCCCACATGCCTTAGTGTAATGCTTGCCAGTTGGTCCGCCTGCTCACTGCCCTTTATGCCCGCATGACCAGGTGTGTAGATTTACAAAGATGGGGAGGACATGTAGTGAGTTGCATATGGTAGGAAAGGATAGAATGACTTGGCGTGAGTTGGCTGAGGGCCTGTGCTCCACTGGAGAATAAAGGGCAGAAGAAAAAACAACACCGTAGACACAGTTCCTATCAATTACAAAGAATTTCTGCTGAAATTGGCAGAAACTGACAATAACAATTAACTATCTCGCAATGTGTAAGCAACAAGAACATGTGGTAAATATTAAAACTTTGGTGGTAACTATGTAGCTGCTATCTTGTGCTTTCACTGGTGAAATGTAAAGTAATTAGAAGAGACAATGTAAAGTGTGAATTTCAGTGGCAAGGTTTCAATTTTTGTGTTTCATTACATGTTGATGTAACCCTGTAGTAATGCACCTAATGAGGTACAACGAAATATGCCAAACAAAAATTGAGTGGAAAAACATTTTAAACTACTTAATGCAAAATTGCCTAGTAAATGGTTTTCAAAGTCCTGTAAAATAATTTGGAACTAACAACACAGAAAATCATACAGATGGTGAAAGTTAAAGATATGCCAGCAAGAGGATGACAGCATCACACATAGGAAGTTGCAACCCATCTGCCTTGTGCTCTGAAGGTCATAGGTTCACTTCACGGCTGTGTCGTTTGTGCTTTGTGTGACGTTCTCAGTAGTGGCTAGTCGTTGTGCAGAAAAAGATCGAGCCATATAGGATAAAGCCTGATGCATGGAAGTCAAGCCTGCCGACTTTAACTTTCAACAGGTAGGAATTGATGTTGACAGACTGGTGAACACCAGTTTGTCAAATACAACTTGGCTGAGAGACAGGCCACTGAAGCCCTACTTAGAAAAAACCATCGCCATAGCTACGACATCTCGATGATAGAAAGTAAAGTAAGTAAAGGACCCTTTTCCACGCCAAACGGCACAAGATGGGTGATGTGGTCAGCATCACGCTGGTTGCCTTTACTTCCCGGGTCTGCGCCCGGTACCCACTCAAGGCTGGGTCAACTGGGAGCCAAGGTCATTGTTGAAAAAAAGTCCGGCTCTGCCAGGGAGCAAACCCACGACCTTCCGATCTGCAGGCGAGCGCCTAGCCGTTCCATCAGAACTCCCTTGATGATACAAGGGGCCTTCAAATGAAAAAAGTAATGGCAGTTACAATAATCATGCCAATGAGTAGGTAAGTCAGTTTCGATGGTTTAGACATGTTTACAGAACAGGAGAGAATGGGACACCGAGGCAGACATGGGAGGCCAAGACCCAGACCTCCAGGACAACATGGGGTTGACTGGGAAGATAACATCCGACACTCTCTGACTGACAGAGGAAATCAATGCAACCAAGCCAAAAAGAAAACTGCTAATAGAGAAGTGTGGCAATCTGTTTGACTAACCTCTATGCCCCAGGGTAGAAGAGGATCAACTAAGTAAAACAGTAGCACAAGGAATACAAATTCAGAAACATTTAAAACAAAATAATGTGTGGTGTCTCCACAATGAAGGATGGCAGCAGTGCATGCCCCATTGTCTTCAGGGATTTCATGTGGTGAGGCCCTAATCTTTTCTGCGATGCCTGCTTGTACCAGTGGTCCCAAGCAACAACTGTGGCCAGTTTAAACAACAACAAAAGTCCACTAGAAAAACTGAACACTAATATGTCATGGGTTGTTGTCACAGAGCTAAACAGACACATAATTAGCAATTACAATGATGAAATACAACTGATGCAATTTGTACTCTCACCTTAGCCACAGATGTGCAGTTCATGTGAATCATATTGCGAACAAACTGTAAACAAACAAAAATTTGGTTGAAAACTCCATGACTCATTTCAGTATTTATGTAAATAACACTTGGCTGTGATGCATAGGCTAGCACTGTACTTTAACATGGCTCTATGACATGCAGTAACTGGCTCCACTACTCACTGCTTCCATCTAAAACATACAAACCCTTCCATGCTTTGTTCAACTTGTGTATCAAAACAGTTCTCTAACTGGCATTATCAATGGTCACACACCCTCATGCAGAAGGTCCCTTGCAGAACATCACTTTTCACACACCACACCAGAAAATCATCTGGGTCCCTGCAAACCCCCCCCCCCCCCCCCCCCCCCACCTCTTGAACTTTAACCCTCTCTCTCTCTCCGAAAAGCCACTAAACTGACACTTTCCATTAGCACCATTTCCCAAATGGAGGGGGGGTGGGTCAACATGGTGCAGTGGTCAGGTCGTTCACCTCACACTCTGTAAGTCGTGCGTTCGTTTCATAGCGCCACCATTCAGTTCATGAGTGCAGTTTTACGGAGATCCCTGGAAATTGTTGCTGGAGCTACAGAAGTCGTGCTCTGTGCAACACTCTCGGCAGGCAGCTAGCTGTTCTGTGGAGAGACTGAGCCATATGGGATAACAAATGGTGGAATGAAGTCGAACCTCTCAGCTTTACCTCTACACACTTTGACAAGGTCACATAAAACGTAACAGTATGTGACATACTGAAAACAAAATTAAGAAGCAACCACCAGACGTCCCTTCTATAAGAAACAGACGTGGACCATCATGAAGACAAGCTACTACAATATGTTTCTAAATCATATTTAACTATCATACAGATTCTACAATTCATTAAATAAATAATTAAATAACACAACACAAACTATAATTATAAAACTTGAAGGGAAAGAAAACACACAGGGATACATTTGAATATTTTAAACAATCTATAACAACAAATTAAAACTAAATGAGAATCCTAACCCACAACCACAAATGATAAAATCATGTAGAGAAAGGAAAAGGAAACAAATGTGCAAAAATGGGAACAGGAAGTTATTTGGGATATGAAACATGTACAAAGAAACATAGCATTGGGAGAGATATCAATGAAAAAATTTGTATAAACAAACAATAAAAAATTTAAAACAAATAAGCAACCACGATTTTCGCGATGTTTAAATCACCCCTAATTAGTGGCATCCTGAGGGCTAACAGGGGAGGGAACAAGCTGAAAAATCATAAATTATGCATGTTTTTTTGCTAATGGTTAGTTACCTAAATATGATCAGATCTTTACATAATTTAGCAAGAGCCTTCCTTATCTGTCACATAAACAATAAATCACTGAGAAATAAAGTTATATATGTTTATTTCATACTTATTCATATTTGATAAAGGTACATATTTTGGTAAACAGTATACTTGTTGCAGCAGCGATGTCAGTCCTACTAAAAAAACTGTTCGCTGTTTATTATAGTCATACCCATGTGGGATGCACATTTTTTGTTGTTATTCAAAGCCACACCCTGGCTTCTGCCAGGGGTCCTGAATATAGCCGGGGCATAGATATGGTGGCCTTACGGCTGAAAAGGGTTTCTGGGACCTCTCCACAGGTGATCCTCATTCGCATGGTGTTTACCGGGTGTTTATCGCTTGTGTGATGTCCTGGTGGGGTACAACTACCTACCTACCATTCGCTGTGTGTAGCTAAACGATTTTGTAACCAGTCATTCTCTCTATCTTAAATTTTCCTATATTGATGCCCAAATTTTTTTCAAGTTTTATAAAATCATAACTCAAAGTTAAATGCTGATCACAAGTGTCAGGTCCTTAAATCTGGCAGGTTTCAAGCAGAATCCACTGAAGTGCATATCTATTAAATTTGATTCATTTTGGCCCAATAGTTTGGAAATTATCCTGACAACAGTAACGCCATGTGCGAATGTTATTTTGAGAGAACGGCTTTAAAAGTTTTATGAGATGAGTACGCTGACTGGATGAAAAAGCATTTACTTAATAAAGGGAGCAATGAAATTGTCTCTGTTATGCTTTGTCCCATAAATCGGTTGTATGGGCCTCATTAAACAGAGCAATTTCCAACTTAAGTCTCTAAGTCAACTTGAAAGTCAAGATAATAATTTTTAAAAATGTGTGCATATGTGATTAGCAAAGAACAACAAATGAAGTGGTTTGGACACCTACCAAGAAAGCCCGGGTACTATCCGCCACAGCGAGCCACACTAAAACGCTACAACGGGTATAGAGCGAGTGGAAGACCTCGGAAAATATGGAGTGATGGCATTAGGAACAACCTTACAGAAATGAACATCAGTCTTAATAGTGCTCTTGACAAAGCTCATCAATGAACGTTACATCTTCCCCCAACACTTCGATGAGGTTCACGTGGAAAGAGAAGAAGAAATTAGCATAAAAACTTAGATCAGTAAGTTGCTTGTGCATCAAAGAATGCAGAAAAAGCTTCAAAGAACGCAGAAATGGCTTCAAAGAATGCAGAAATGGCTTCAAAGAATGCAGGAATGGCTTCAAAGAATGCAGAAATGGCTTCAAAGAATGCAGAAATGGCTTCAAAAAATGCAGAAATGGCTTCAAAGAATGCAGAAAAAGCTTCAAAGAATGCAGAAAAAGCTTCAAAGAATGCAGAAAAAGCTTCAAAGAATGCAGAAAAATCTTCAAAGAACGCAGAAATGGCTTCAAAGAATGCAGAAAGTTTTAAAGAAAACAGAAAGTTTTAAAGAACACAGAAATAGCTTCAAAGAACGCAGAAATAGCTTCAAATAACGCAAAAATAGCTTCACAGAATGCAGAAATAGCTTCTAAGAATGCAGAAACAGCTTCAAAGAATGCAGAAATAGCTTCAAAGAATAGAGAAAAAGCTTCAAAGAATGCAGAAATAGCTACAAAGAACGCAGAAAAAGCTTCAAAGAATGCAGAAAAAGTTTCAAAGAACGCAGAAAAAGCTTCACAGAACGCAGAAATAGCTTCACAGAACGCAGAAATAGCTTCACAGAACGCAGAAATAGCTTCAAAGAATGCAGAAATAGCTTCAAAGAACGCAGAAATAGCCTCAAAGAACGTAGAAATAGCTTCAAAGAATGCAGAAATAGCTTCAAAGAATACAGAAATAGTCTTAAAGAATGCAGAAATAGTATTCTAAAACGGTCTCTTTTAAATCCTGCTGGCACAGCTCTTTTCTGCTAGGAATAATTGGGAACTATGTACGGAAACCCAAAATGGTCAAAATTTACAATTGTTATCCCCCCCCCCCCCCCCCCCCCCCCCCCCCCCCAGATTGCTGCACAAAAACTATTTCTTAGTTTCATAATGCTCAATTAATAAGTGTGTAAAGTTTCATTATAATCTGAGAAAAATAAATCCCACTCCCAAAAAAAAAAAACAGCCAAAATGAGAAAACAGAGGGAAAAAAGGCATTGGTTTCATGTTTTATTATACTAACAAAATTGTTTTCACGATTTAAAATGTTGTTTTACTCAGAAAAAAAAAAAGTTTCTGATATTACATGATCATTAGAACAATCCTGCTGCATATGCTCCAGAGCCTGTTGTTCATCTTGCCTCTTCAGTTTGGCAGCTCTGACACTCTTACTCAGCTTGTCCTTCTCATACTTCAAGCTATTTCTAACTCTCTTCTGTATCCTAGATGCTCCTAGTCTCTTTATATACAGGCCTAAAGAAAATCAAAAACAACTGGGCAGTGTCTTGAGAAGCAACAGCACCAAAAGTTGAACTCTTACAACTGCAAATTGTACGCGCTTGCGCGAGGCCAACTTGTCTTAAGTACAACAAGCCCAGATCAGGCTGTGTAAACACTCATTTGAATTCTGAGTTTTTCCTGAAACACATCTACTAAGTAGTTTAGGATCAAACAGCCTTTCATAAATTGGCAAAAGATATTTCTGTAGTTTGTCACAGCTGAGCCATGTGTGCACCATCTTTGTCATGAGGACTAGGGGACTGATGCTTTGCCAGCTTACTGATGGCATTTTGTGTAAGCTGACCTTTACCACCTCCACCTAGGGTCATGCCTGGCTTTCGGCAGTCAGCAACAACATAACAGAGCGCTGTTTGAAGGCATTTACTGACAAGGTTGATAAATTCCTTGGGATCTTGGGAAGCTCAGCAAATGTTTTGGCATCAGCAACAGAAAGTACTGATGCATAGCGAAGCTTACGACAGGCCACTGCCACAGCACTCATTCAGCTTCCACCATTTCAGCAGATCCTGTGAAATGATTATCACAGTTTAGAAGAATGTCTACCTTCCATGCTTCAAATTCAGCTGGTTTAGATTTGGAAACTTACCAGTGGTTTTGCACACCTGACATTATGTGGACATAACATGCACATCCATGCCAAGTCCTGTAAGGACATCACCACACAGCCAACCCCAATGTGGAAGGATGTGTGGCCTCTCATCAGCCAAGTGCCATCAAAGCTGACAGTAATATCCAGCACATCCTTGTCATGTAGAGTAATGCTTGCCTGCTTGTCAAACGTACTTCACGGTTTGAGAGAAAACCATGTCCTCCAGATCTTCTAACTTTGAATATAATTTATTTGCTTGGTTGTGGCTTTGCTGACGAAGACCTTGAAGGTTGATATTTTCACAAAAATCATTAAACGTGGTGGCACCCATTCCACAAACTAATGCAGAATAAACTAACTGGTTGTTGATGGCAAAAGATCTATCCCCATCATTACTTCTTGAATCTAAGTATCTTAAATTTATTGGAACGAGGCATTTTTTAATCAATGTCAGCCTTTCCTTCGCTCCATAAACAATGGATCACAGCGGCCATCTCTAATAATCGGATACCTACGTGATTAGTTTCAGCTAGCGGGATTCGCCCATAGTACGCAATGTCGTGTTTACACCCTTATATGGAAGTGTCCGGACTTTTATATGGGTCAGTCAATCGTCAATGAATGGAAAAGTTCAAACTCCACTATCACAATTTCGGCTGAATAATGCAGGGGACATAATTACGCTTATAATGGTATATAATACAGTCGGCTATCTCCTTGGGAAAATGACGCTGCCAGAGTGTGAAAAATGACAATTCGGCTGCCAAAGTGTGAAAAATGACAATTCGGCTGCTAGAGTGTGAAAAATGACAATTCGGCTGCCAAAGTGTGAAAAAGGACAATTCGTAACAAATTTCAATAAACAAATAATTTCACAGCTTGGGTTAGCTCAGTAAAATATTAATATTGCATTAAAAAAAAAAACATATTTTAGACAAAAACAAATACTGAATCTGACAGAAGACATACTAAGGCGTGTACAAACAAACTTTTCCCAAAAAATTTCAACCTCACTCAAATTCACTGTTTTGAACACCGGCACACTGCCTTAATGGAAGTAACAATGAAGCTACCAAGAGGCAACAGAGAGATAATATAAAGACAAACATACAAACACTTGGAATCATCAAATGGAAGGGCAAGCCGATAACAGAGATGAATCGAGATGAGTGATATCTGCAGCAATGAACCTGAAGGGTTTGAAATGCTGAAGAGGAGAAATAAATAAATAAAACAAGTAGGAAAATCAATACATGAAGGCAGGCTGAATATTGATTCCACCTAGGCTCAGAATGCCTAAACTACAAAAACTTATGGTTAAACCATGTAAATTTTTACTGGCACTTACGTCTGGATCCTCAACTTCAGCATAATACTGAGGAAACTCGTAGGAGACTCCCACATTGTTGACCAGGACCCCAACGTCTAGACCAGCAAGTTCACGTTCAATGTTGTCATAAATGTCCTCACTGGAGAAGTCTGCAGCTATGACACGGGTTTTGACCCCGTATTTACTTTCTGTAGGGGAAATAACTTTTATCATTCACCACATTTGCCAAGCTCATTTTAATATGGATGAAGGTCAACTGGTTTAGTTCATGTCACTTTATTTCTCCATCTTTTTTCTTTTTTAAATCTGTGCAAGGACATACCAGTTTTAATATTACTGTGTGTTCATTCTACCAAATTCTAAAAAAATGTTGAATGTTGAATTAAGAATCGACATCACAGCACTCAGGACACTCCCATAAGTGCTCCGTCTCCATCTTCAGCAGCAAGCAAAGAATTCCAATTCTGATGGCACTAGTAACCGTCTGATTGTATATCCTTCTCATCCTTGCCCTAAGTGTTGGCCAGATCCCCTGGTAACTCCTCGCAGCGCCATTCTCCTTAGACCGTAATGATCTATCTGCGCCTCCTCACAATATCTAGCTTGTCATACATCAATTTACAACCAAGTAGTGCAGAGCCAGCCAGTCTGCCTACTCATTTACCAACAAAAGTGTTCTAAGGCAAAAGGATCTAGTTTATCACACCAGATTCTATAGTGTAAAGACGAGTCTCTTTAAAGAATGTATATATCTGTATGCCTGTTTTAGTGCTTCTGTGTGTAAAACATGTGTGGATACGACATATATGAGTGTTTGGGTGTAATATGTAAAAGTTAGCTGTGTATCCAATAACAGGACATTGCAGAACCAATTCTAGCGTTTTTTGGCTGTTGTAGCTTTTCTAGGCAAATTTACGTCCAGTAGTTTGCCACTGCTTTCTGAACGGTCGGCTATTCGATGCCATGTCGAAACGAACACAAGGCCCGCAGCCGGGATCGAAACCGGCACCCAAACATTACGAAGCGTGTTCACAATGCCTAAGCCATAGTTGATGACTAATAGGTAATAAGTAAGCACACTTGATATTCATGAATGTGTATTTGTATGCATGCGTGTGTGAACGTATGAGTACATGTACATATGAGCATGTGCAAGAAGGGTGACAGTGTATGTATGTGTACATCAGAGTGATATGTATGTGTTTGTATAAATTAGTACATATATAGGGGTGCCTGTGTAAGCATGTGTGAATGAACAGTGTGTAAGTATCATTATGTATGTGCATGTATGCATGCATGTATATCTGAATGTATGTTTTTGCCTTTCATGACTTCGTGTTTTAACACCAAGTATTTTGCTATATGAACATAACATGTTTTGTAGATAAAAATACAACAGATGTATAGAAGGGCCGAATGTAAGATGGGCCGGGCTGCCTAATTCGTGACCCCTGAAGAATAAAGTTTCAAACGTTCATCAATGCTGAACAGCTGGTTTTCACATGAACCGTTCATCAATCTTGAACAGCTGGTGTTCACATGAACCGTTCATCACTCCTGAACAGCTGGTGTTCACATGAACCGTTCATCAATACTGAACAGCTGGTGTTCACATGAACCGTTTATCAATCCTGAACAGCTGGTGTTCACATGAACTGTTCATCACTCCTGAACAGCTGGTGTTCACATGAACCGTTCATCAATCATGAACAGCTGGTGTTCACATGAACTGTTCATCAATCCTGAACAGCTGGTGTTCACATGAACTGTTCATCAATCCTGAACAGCTGGTGTTCACATGAACTGCTCATCAATCCTGAACAGCTGGTGTTCACATGAACTGTTCATCAATCCTGAACAGCTGGTGTTCACATGAACCGTTTATCACTCCTGAACAGCTGGTGTTCACATGAACCGTTCATCAATCCTGAACAGCTGGTGTTTACATGAACTGTTCATCAATCCTGAACAGCTGGTGTTCACGTGCCAAGAGCAGCACAAAAAGCACTGCCTCATGACACCCACAGACCTCTGTAAGGTTTGCACTAGCCAACAGCAAGATGCAGACCAATAATGAATGTACAGACACACAACCTACAGTGTGATAGAACCTGCTTACATTTTTCCACCGAGATCCTTTATACAAAACATTACCTACAGCTTGCTAAAACTGAGGGAGGATCCCATATATGAGACCACGTCTTATATCAGGACTTCAGCTATTAACAAAAGCAGGTTGCACTAAGCCGTATGACGCAGGCGGGTTGAACTTAGCTATGTCAGACAAGCGGGTTACGCCAGGCCTTCTAAATTACAGCGCGGCAAGTTAAAGAAAGAAAAAAAAAAAACCCCCACCAAAGTCTGTTACACTGAGTGTCTTCTTGTATATGAAAAATGGGAAATCATGCTGATATGTAGGAAAAGTTAACAAAAGGAATATCCTAATAAAATTATTACTAACACAAATAACATGCTTTACTACAGCAAAAGGCACTAGTATGTTGCTGTATTAATGAAATCCAACCTAGAAGCAGCAAATGGGAACACTGGTCCCAGTGTAGTGGGTCCCAAGACCCCACTGTTGGAGGAAAAAGAAAAGATCTACAACCCCCCCCACAAGCATTTTGTAAAAGGTTAATTAATTAGGGGCATTTTCTTTAAAGTTAGAGTGCATCTGCCTGAAAGGCAAAGAACCAACAGTCTGCACACAAAATAAGCCGAATGTGCATGCAAAACTAACCTTCCAGAACAAGACCACAGTCCAGAAGTGGACAAACAACCAGAATCTTCTGCTGGAGTTTACAGCCAGTGAATGCTGAGAAGAATAACAAGCGAAATCGGAGGATGTGCTGGACCAAAAGGTGCAGATGCTGCAGCCTAGCTGCAAACCATCCTTTCAAGGCTGAATACAGCAGGTAACATTGTAACCTACCCTGTCTTCCAGCAAAAAAAAACCAAAATGCAGGCGTAAAATCCAACCAATCACGCGCAAGTTTACAAAGGACCTGGAGTGAGTTGGTTAAGGAAGTTGTAAATTAGTTGCAGCAGATGTGCATCAGTAACAACACATGCTTCAGGCCGCCTAATTGATGCCTATTTGTCCTGTCATGGCATTTCCTGTTAACTGGCCAGGGTGAACTTCAGACTTTGACACCACTGCTTTCCCAGGCAGTTGAATGAGACAGATACCAGGAGGCAAAAATGCAAAAGACGTCATAAAGAGCCTTTTTTTGGTGTCTTATTTATTATACCGCAGCACTTTCTGAAGTTGACCGACTACCATGAACAGAAACTTGGTCACATTTTAAAATATGAGTCGACAGTTTCAGATAATATCTGAGATAGGGGGGATTTCAAGAAAGCCAACATCACAGAGATAACAGTTTAAACAGAAGAAAGAAGGTGATATATTCACATGTTATAAGACATAGCAATCAATCACAAAACAGGCAATGTAATGGAAAACACAGGGACTGAAGAAACAAGGATGTTTAAGAAAAACACTACACTGTGCAATGATGTCCCCTTGTGGGTTCCAGAGCCCCATTGTGGAGAAAACCAGAACAGACCCAGTACCTCCCCAACATCTATTCATGAACAAATACTGGTAGAAGACAAAAGGTTAGCTCAAATAATATGTGTAAAAATGTATGAACATGGAATCATGTGTGGATCCAGCAACGAAGGACAAATGAGAATCAGGGAAGAACAAGTGTATAATCAGTGTCCCAGGAACATTAAGCATCTACACCTTACATCAGTGTTTCCCAAACTTGTCTTTATCACGGCGCCTTTTTTCAATTGTACACGGAGCCATAACCTAAGTAAAAGTATGACCATTCGTATGAGATAAAAAAAAAAAATAAAACTTGTGTATCATCGAATATTTCACGGCGCCCCTGTGAAGACGTCGCGGCTCCCTGGGGCGCAGCAGTGCAATTTGAGAATCACTGCCTTACGTCATTTGCTAAAAGAGACAGATTTATGCACAAAACCAGTGTTCTATGATGTCGTTTTAATCAGTAATCAGTGCGTCAATCTCCAGATTTGCAGGTAAACTTTCTGAGTTATGCCTATGCTTTCAATTTAATCCAACTTTAGTTTTGGAAAGACTTTTTTGGCCTGAAAAACACCACAATCTAAGGTATGTGAGAGATACTTAATGACTGACATAAGTGAAACTTACCAATGTCACTGGCCAGGCCTGTTAATTTGGACAGTGTCCGGCTGATCAGCACAACATTCAGACCTCTAGATGCCAGCTGCGGTCAAAATACAAAGTGTTAATACTGAAGACAAGTAAAATTTAAGGAGTATTAATCTAAAACTCATCTGTGCTGTATTGCGCGTAACTGCAAGCGTCGAACATGAACATATCTTCTTCTTCGCATTCACCAGCTGTACACTCTAGCGGAAAGTTCCGGTTCCTCATCCACTACTGAACTGCAGTCCTGCTCCAGAACCTGAGTGCTGCGTGTGCATCAGTTTTACAGATCTCATTCTCTTGAATACAGACTGTTGGTTCCTTGCCTCTCCGGAAGATGCACTCAGACTTCAAAGGAAGCTCCCCAATTAGTTGACTCTTACGACATGCTTTTGGGAAGGCAGTGGGTCTATTCTTGTTTCCCCCACAATAGGGTCCCGGAACCCACACGGGGGACATGAACATATAAAAGTCATGTGTTCAGTCTGATCAATGAACAAAAGAGCCTGTGTTTATCGCCTATGACTGTTTCTGACTGTTCCAGAAAATAGCAGGATTGGAACAGAACCTATGCATCATGGCATGTGCTCTTTTTACTCAATGGTCAATAATTATAATTACAAAATGACATGATTATGTTCAAAACACAGAACTGCATGCAGTGCAGCACGAACAGATTTCAAATCAGTGCTCCCAATAGAAACAATTCTATTAGTACATACAACAAAAGGATCCTATGTGTGGGGAAGGGGGGGGGGGGGAACGATGGGGATCTGAAGCTAGGCATAACTGTGCAGACCAACTGTGACTTAATGGGTGATGTAGTCAACATTACATGACAGCCTCTACTTCCCAGGATATTTTCTGCTGTCAATTTTAGGCTGTATCAACCTGGGAGCAAAGGTCAGTTATGAAAATAAAATCTGCAGATTTGAACCCAACACCTTTAGGTCCAGCAGGTAGGTGTCAAGCAACCGCAATACAAAGATTTCCATTTGAAATTCTGAGATCTTTTGTTCAGAAGAAATTATTTAGGTGTTCAACCTGCTTGCCAAGAGAAGCACACAGTCCAGTGCTTTAAGTTTGTGCCATGGCCCCTGAAAAGCCCCTTTCCTGGCTTGGTATAGAGGGCTTATTTACAAGGAGCTCCCCTTAACAGCACTGCTTACATTTTTGCCTGGAAAACTTTTTAGAATGACCGTTAATGAGCATAGCTGCTAAAAATGGCATTTAGGTTGGGTTTCCTTATGGAAAAGGTGCCCTGACCCAATATTAAATATATGCAGACAAAACCATTGTTGAAAAGAAAAGAAGAAATAGAAGAGGTTCATTAGTTAACCCTTACACTGTGATAAGCCACAAGATTGATTTTTCTGGTAGGGCCCTATTCCCCGTAAATGTCCCTTTTCGACTCGCCTATAGTAACCTGTTCACAAGATAATAATAGCCGTTTTCTCACCTGCATAAATGTTTAGAAGGCCATGATATGACTGAATTAACTATAAATAGCATTTAAGGGGGTTCATCTTTCAGCCAATTAGCTCTTTTTTTTTAAAGCCAAGCTGACGTCCAATTTTTCTGTAGCTTTAGTGACAGAGACCACAGGGTCATGGCATGAGTTACCCTATACAATCAATTTCACAGGTCTTGAGGAGTATATTAAATTTAATGCTTTACTCTTGGTAATCTTAGTTTCAGCTTCATAGCAAACAGGTCGGCCCACAGTTGCTCCGTTCCTGCACCAATGAAAATTACTGAATGTTCATCACTGTCTCAACATATCCACTAGCATACACACCCATTTAAAGCATAAGGCAGCCATAAAAAGTTCAAACAGAAACAGTCCGACATTATAAATTCAGTTCATCATCAACGGAAGCAGTGATTACAAACGGATCAGCAGTTGCATGCACAATCAAGTTCAATCACATAAGGCACCAGCACTTCTGTGGCAACTTGCCACTTTCTGAATCTACAGTTCACAACTCCATGCTGGTCACAGTATAATAAAATCTGCACCTCACAGTGTTGCACCATGCACTCAATTCAGCAGCTGAAGGAAGAAAACTCTATCCTTTCAGTCTACAAATGAAGGAATATGCAACGGCCACTGTCTGTCAGAAGCAACAAATTTACCGCAACTTAAAACAGCGACCACACCTGATGCCCATTCCAACTGTTTGTGTTTACTGATAACTCCCTTCATATATCTTTATACATTTCAGGAAAAAAAAAATTTTTAAATGTAGAAAATCTTTATTTAATATTTCTGGAATGTCCCCCCCCCCCCTTTTTTTTTAAAAACAGTATTTCAATGGGGTAATGACACGCCCCCCACCCATTTTTTAAGTGTTACCAGGGCCCACAGGGTTTACCTACAGTGGAGAGAAAGAATTGTATGATAGTGATGTAACTAAATACATCTCAGTGGCCGATTCTTATAGCAGCCTTAAGTTATGTTATTTATAATTCCCAGATCTTTGCTATCAATGTTTAACTGTTCTAGCATTTGATAATGTGCTCACATTTCCCTCTCTCAAACAAAGATAAAAAAAATATATCAACATAACATAGCACACCTGTTCTGCGTACGCCTTGCCAATACCATCTGTGCTGCCAGTGACAACTGCAATACAAAAACAAAGGAATCAACTCCATCATTAGTATCGGTAATTTTGAAGAAGACAAAACCTCCCTTCAACCAGCTCCTGTCTGATCATTGGTTGTGTTTAAGACTCTGTTTTTATCTGCTGGGATTAGATTTTTGTTTCTTGTGGCACATGGTTGTGTTTAAGACTTTGTTCTTATCTGCTGGGATTTGATTTTTGTTTCTTGTGGCACATGGTTATGGCATGGTCTTAATCTTTGCTGACTTGCCACCTACGTCTGTCAGACTCCGGGTCGGGGAGGTTTCGGTTGTTGTGTTAGCTTTGACACGGACAAGTCCATGCTGGTGGTGCAACTCACAACTGAGGCTTGTACTGAGTTTGATTGTAGGAGCTGTAGTCCATCCTACTGTGACCCCCACCCCCCACCACCTGTTTTTTTTAAATATTTTTTGTTTTCAATTTTTGGCTCTGATTTTTTTTTATTTTTGCCTTATGTAGTTACAAATTTTCTGGCCAGATACAATATCAAATACTAAACTACTTCAAGTCACAAACCAAGAAACTCTGGACAGTATGATAACCAAGAGAAGATGGAAATGGCTTGGCCACGTTATGAGAATGAATCCTGATGTACCTGCCAAAACAGCTCTCATATGGACACTAGAGGGAAAGAAGAAGGGGCGCCCAAAAACAACATGAGGACGAGCGATGGAAGAGTGATCTGAATGCGGCATCTCTGACATGGAAAACTGCACTGATGATTGCACAGGACAGGAAAGCATGGAAAGTCCTCTCTGAAGCCTCATGTGCCACTAGGCATACAGAGAACTGATGATGATTATGTAGTTAAAAGACATTTCACTTCCTGCTTTCCTTTCTTCTAGTGTCACTATCCTTGATTTTAGGTTTGTAGCTTTGACTGATGGCTTCTATCAGTGTTTGTTCTCTTCTGCTTTGTTGTTATTGGTATCAGTATTTGTTTCTGCTTCTGTTTGTTTGATAAGAGCAGCTCCACTTCATAATCATAATGTTGTGCCATTTATAGGTCAACCTCACCCCTGTGTTGGTTCTGGGATCTATCGGGGGTAGGGTGGGAACAGACCCACTGTCCCTAACTAACAAGTGGTCTTGAGGCATGGCGTCTGCCTAGTGCTGGAGGTCCTGGGTTCAGGCCACAGTGAAGGCAGAGATTTTTTCACGTGGACTTCTAGTAATTTCCCCCCTGGTATCTGGGTAGCAAGATTAGATCGTTTGCCTGTGTGTACTTGAAAAATCCCTTGGCTGTGACAGTGGGAAATCGAAAAAAGTGGCCTAACGCCGCTGCCAGGGCAAAATTTTTTAGTAAAAAATCTACCCAAAGTATTTTAGGTTCCTTGCCGGTGCTACGGAGTTCGTGCATTGTTCAGACATTCTTTAGACTCAGCCTTGAGTTAGAAGTAGAACGGACACTTATGGGTTACTAGTATTACTACCTTTGTGCCAAGATGATCCGCAGTATAAACCAACCATAACTAACAAGCACGCTATAAATGTTAGGTCATATATGTAGGTGACTAATTATGGGCGTTTCCTTCAAAGTACAGGTAGTAGAAGTGCATCCCGCCTGAGAGGCAAGGAGCCAACTGGCAGTCTTTCCAATAACGGGGCTAAATTATGAAGGTTAAAAACATACCCAACAGGACCTCAATGATATGTAAAATTAGGATTTATGGCAGCAGACCATCGGCTCCAACACAGATTAGCAATAATGTTCTACCAACCGATGATGTGGCAGCTGTAGATGTTCTTTGCCTTAAGGTTAGGGTTAATTATATTTTATTTCCCATTTTTTAATAAGTTACACTAGATGACCTATTGAGGCCCTGTTAGGGTATGGGGTATGTTTTTAACCTGGATAATTTGGGACCGTTATTAGGAAGAGTGCCAAGCCAACATTGCTGCCAGATCTGTAAACTGAACGGATTTCGAATTTGGAAGAAAAACAAGTTCTGGAACAAGACCAAAGTCCAGGCCGAGTGGAAGAACATTTCCACCAGTTTACAGCCGGTGATGAACCGTTCATTGAACGAGCAGAGGCTAAGGAGAAGAATGAAAGAATGTAATGTAAACTGTAAAGCGGAGGGTTTGAGAATAACAGCACCCACTGTGTACCACTCGGATTCGTTTACTATAAAAAAAAAATTGGACTAACACTACATATGCTATAAGTAGAAAATAATCAAGATCCTTTACTTTCTTTTTTATTTTATTTGTATGTTAGTTTTTTAAACTTACCAGCCCATGACCCTGCCTTCTTCAGGTTCGCCGACAACCCTAAAACCTGAGGGAAAATATAGGTGCTCAAAAACCGGAACACCCCGAGGGCAATCTTAAAGGCGATTATGCCGGTTGTTAGAGCACCAATGGCGCTGAAAATATCGGAGGAATCTCCTAAATATTCTCTGAGAGTTTTCAAGACCATGATTTTGCCGGTAGACAGTTGCAGAAGTGCCGAAACCCACACGCCGTTGTTGTATCACGTGATACACAGGTGGACCGGGTGGTGACGTAGAGCACATTTATGGTATGCCAGGCAACACTTAGGATTCATTTCGGGAAATATAAGTGCCAAAGATCAAGTGTTTGCCACATATACAATTGTTGAATTCATAGGCGCAGGTTCTTTACAGAAATCTTGACCACCACACCCCCCCCCCCACGTCATATTTTGGGAAAGGGGGAAAGAAGCTGAGCCCTATATAATTTTAGGAGGGCTGAGGCTCCCAGAAAATTGATTGTACACGTCTTCTTCTCTTCTTGTTCTTCTTCTTTTCTTCTTCTTCTTCTTCTTCTTCTTCTTCTTCTTCTTCTTCTTCTTCTTCTTCTTCTTCTTCTTCTTATCTCTACTACATGAGTACCTCTCGGCTCAGGGCAGGAACAGATCTCTGAAGCGGTGTTCTATGTTCAGATTACTCTGAAGCCATCTAGGCTCCCAGTATAACATCGCGGTTGAAAAGGATTTCTGGGACTTGTACCTAGTTTATTTTAAATCTAAATAGTGACACTTTGCGTCACCTGGTGTTAATCGCTCAGTTCTCCGTGTGGTTTCCGGGGTCCTATTAAAGGGGCAAACAAGAATAGACCCACTGCCTCCCCAACAAGCATGTCGTAAGAGTCGACTAATTGGGGACTTCCTTCAAAGTCGAAGTGCATCTGCCTGAGAGGCAAAGAACCAATAGTCTGCATACAAAAAAGCTAGATCTGTAAAACGGATGCACACCACAAAAAACTCAGGTCCTGGGACAAAGCCAAAAGTCAAGAAACAACCAGGCCTTTCCGCTGGACGCAAACAACAACAATCGCTTAGTTTGCTATCCCAGTAGGATTTAGTTTCGCACATTCTACAGGTAAATGTGTGTTCTCTTGTTCTGTGTTTGTTTATTCATTTCTGATATTTTTATTTAATCATAATGACTATATTATTAGTAGTTTTATTATTGCGCAATTAAATAAGGATTAAGTCAATAGAAGCACTCCTCTCAAAAGTTTCCTAAGTGGCGACGCCCTTAGTAGAATTGTATTAAGTTTACATATAAACATCTGCTACAAGAGTGACCGATGCATGCATAATACATGTACTTTCGTTTGGCTTACAGAGGCCCCATTGAATGGCCAACTATAAAATCTCATGTTAACCCCATGTTGACCTTTGCAACTGAGGAGTGTACTTACTTTTTACATTAAACATACACTGCTGTTTCAAAAACAAGTGGTAAATGCAGGCAATAGTGAAATTTTATATTCAAGGTCTTATCCTACAGAAAAAAAAAATACCGTTATATGTCATACAATTATACAACTAGGGCAGATATTTATCGTAAAGTGCCCAATACAGCAGCGCTGAAAAACATAACATTGTGCTTATTCTTTTCCCTGAAATGACAGTTGTTGCGTTGTTTTGTGGTTTTGCAGCTAGGCTGCGATATCTTGAGCCTTTCGACCCAACAAATCCCATTTATAATCTTATAAACTAGTCGCTTTTTACGACACCGTTCCCACAGGGGGGAAAGAAGTTACACCAGTTTGAAACACTAACATAAAAACGTTAAACTATGTGAGGAAGAATCGAATCAAATATAGGCCTATGATATTAAATAGACAGTATGAAAATAGTATTGCAAATTGACGCTTCACACATTCAAACCCACACACACACATACGTGAACACACAAACGCACGAACACACCTACACAACACGCACACACTATATAAAGGTGAACTATAGGTTTTTTTAGACGTCTTTTTTTCAAGGCTACTGAAAACGACACTGTTGTTAATACCAACACCGTTTTAGACAATGGTCAGTGCCGGGATTTTTTTAAAAACCTAGAAAAGACAAGCCTTGTATAAAAACGGGGGGGGGGGGGGGGAACTATATTCCTAGAAAAAACCCAGCGCTTCTTCTTCTTCTTCTTCTTCTTCTTCTTCTTCTTCTTCTTCTTCTTCTTCTTCTTCTTCTTCTTCTTCTTCTTCTTCTTCTTCTTCTCTTCTTCTTCTTCTTCTTCTTCTTCTTCTTCTTCTTCTTCTTCTTTTTTTTTCCTTCTTCTTCTTCTTCTTCTTCTTCTTCATCTTCTTCTTCTTCTTCTTCTTCTTCTTCTTCTTCTTCTTCTTCTTCTTCTTCTTCTTCTTCCTTCTCATTATGTGGCCGAGCCATTTCAATCTTTGTCTTTCTTTCTCGATAGATTGATCGATGGATACTGTTTCAATAGTTCTAATCTTCTCCTTTCTCACACGATCTCTTCTGGTAAAGCTCATGCGCATGCACAACTCATATTTAGGTAAAAGACCAAAGTTCATGAGTGGACGAACATCTAGAACTTTCCGCCGGAATTTATAGCCGGTAAATGCGAAGAATGGGAGACAGCTTGTTTTTAGAATATAACCATAGAAGTAAACATTCACACACTAGGAACATCGATACAATATCTTTATACGCCATCAAAGCTGGCAAGGAATAAGCCAATATAAATAACACGTAAACAAAAAACACACAATGTCGGGGAATATATGTGTGAGTGTGTGTAAGTGTGTGTGTGTGTGTGTGTGTGTGTGTGTATGTGTGTGTGTGTGTTATAGTGGGTCGGCTATTGTGAAGCAAGTGATCTTGTTATTTTTCTCTTGGCACAGGAAAGAAACGTGATTTGTGTGTGTGTGTGTGTGTGTGTGATTAAAGTACAGATCTCTATAAAACCAGCATCAGATTAGTTAGTTAGTTAGTTAGTTAGTCTTTCCTCTTGTGTCATATAGGGCAGAGGTCGTGACTCTCCATGCACGGCGGTCCGTTGCAATCCGTTGTAGGTCTTGGATGTTTGAGTGGCCCATGAGTGAGCCTTCCCTGATGATAGTTCTACGTAGGGTTTCCCTTGGTCTTCCACGAGATCTTTTCCCCTGTGGTGTCCAAATGAGGGCTTGGTAAGGAAGTCTTGATTTATCCATTCTAAGGGCGTGGCCGACATAGTTCCAGCGGAGTTTTCGTATAAAATTAGACACATACTCTTGCCTGGATTCTTGCCTTATTTGTGTATTGGTTCGGAAATCTGACAATTTGAAATTTAGTATTCTTCTAAGGCATTTATTTTCAAAACTGTCTAATTTTGTGTCTGGAGGTTTCGTTGATTTCCAGCTCTCGCATCCATAGGTTAGTACTGGAATCACACAAGAATTGAATATCTTGAGTTTTGTGTGTTTGCTAAGTGTCTTTGATTTCCAGATGTTAGACAGTTTATTAGACAACATGACACACTTGAGCTGTTTTCCCCGTTTGATACATGGTTCTAACATTCCAGTAACCAATTTTAAGGATGTCCTTCGAATTTAACAGATTAGAACGAATCATCGTGCAGTTAGAGTCAGAAATCTGATTCTATAACAATTGGTGGTTTTGCGATGACAGCTTGTCGGACCGTCGATCAACCGATATGCGCCGAGCTAGAGAGAAACACGTCCCGCCATCTTGGCACAAACCGGAAACCCCATCAGATGGTTGCACATAATATTTAATGCAGGATGGGTACAACAAGCTGCTCCCAGTGACTGGCAACATGAAATAGTTATACCGTTGTAGAAGAACAAAGGAGGCAAGCGAGAATTCAGTCAATACCGAGGCATCTCTTTTGTGAGTCATGTTGGAAAAATGTATGCGAAGATAAAAACCTAGCTAACGCCAGTGATTGAAGTACAGACGGTGTAAGAACGGTTAGGATTTAGGAGAATTAGAAGCTGCACTGATGCAATCTTTACACTTAAACCGGTAGTAGAAAAGAACAGGGGATATTATCTGTGGTATTCGTAGAACAGGAGCAGACATTCAACAGTGTAGTAGTAAATTTTACGCCCCTAGGACATCAAACATGCGATAAACTGGAGAAAAAAAATGTTTTTTGTCATGGCATGGAGGGGTGTCAACTTACGAATTGATACATGCATCTGCGGATCACAAATTGTGCAAAGGCATGATCGCCCACGCCAGTCGCCAAGGCACTTGATTTTGATGATGACCAGGCAACATCATCGCACATACATGGATGATAAATGTAAAACACTAAAAAGATAGAAACACTGTTAAAGCACAAACTGTATACTGTAAGCCCAGTGTATTAAGTTTGATGTGGCTGTTATGTTTCAAGTATTTAGATCGACTGTGAACAGCTGCTCGTATTTCCTCCTGTATGATGTGATAGTCACTTGATTTTAAAACATAATACTATACATACATTCTAAAATATTAGAAAAATGTAGTTTTAAATAAACTTATCCCCTGCATGTAGGTAATTGTTGTTGACACCCTTCTGTCTTTCCAGTCACCATGGCTATGGCTAGTGTGACTAGCAAGACATGTCCTCATGTAAGTAATAGAGTAAATATAAAAACCGTTTCTATGATATAGAACGTATTTAGAATATGGTTATTTAGATCATCCTCACTGCACATCGAAGCAGTGAATTCACAAGTGTTCAGATCCCGTCCTCAGTAAATCCCATAGCACGTAGCAGCTAACACAAGTTGTATCTTGATTTCTTATTCCTTTTTGGCTTTGTGCATAGTGCTCTTATCTGGCCACACCCATTTTAAGTTTTTTATTCTTGTTGTCTGATCATGGTTGCAGATTCACAGTCAATTTTTGCTTCTCACAAACGTCATATTTCTCATAGAGCATTCAGTTTATCAGCTTGGTCGGTGGCCTGTCCGCTCTGCAATGCAGCCTTACCTGCAAACCTATCAGCGTACTCATTTCCGTTTATACCTGCATGTCCTGACACGAAACTAAAAACTCTCTCAGCGTTAAACAAAATTGACCAAGTTACCAGTTTTCTTTTACGCACAGAACATTGCAAACACAACAAACACTCATATAAATCAGATGTAAGTCAAAGAACCCTCTCCCAGTGTCTTCGAGCTGAAAGAGTTTAGAACGTGTCTTTC